CTAATGGTTTGTAAGGAAAATTTTAACGTTGCACCGTAAGAAGTAACTCAAATCGTACACGAGACTGTAAATTCAAGATTGATTCCACAGCCTCCCCTCTACTGTGTGCAGTCACAGTCCCTTGCTGTGGACAGAAAACCGTTTTGTATTTTCATTCTTGCAAGCAGAATTGACTGAAGCTGTAGTCTGTCAAGAGCTCTGCAGACACTGGAAAAAGTAAGAAACGGGAGCGGGTGTAGCTTAGAGGTTCAGCGTTGCCTAGCATTCACAGAGCCGCAGGTTCAATCCCCGGCGCTGCGGGAGGGTTCCCGACCAGGCAGACCGAGGACGGCCAACACTCGGCAACACCAAGTGCAGTGGTGTGAGCAGTGCTCTATGAGCAAGGGGGAGACGGCTGTGAGTGGACACGGACAGCGCTTGGGGTGTTGTTTTCAAGACCGCATAGGAGGCCAAAGGAGAGCAGGGTGTGGCCGCGAGGCAGGAGGGGAATCCAGCGTGGGAACTGAACGGGCAGAGGGAGGGCACAGCGTTGGCATCGTCTTCAGTACACAGCCTGAAACACCACAGTCTGCCTCCTGGGTAATTTCGGCCAGCCGAAAACTGCACACTGGAGACTTCCTGCTTAATTCCAACAGGCAATAAACTGTTGCTTTCGTTTGCGAGAAGGGGTCTCACTGTGTGGTTCAGGCTGGATGTTTCACGGTATTTCCCCACAAAATACTAACAAGAGGGGAAAGTGGTTTTACAAAGGAGATTCCAGGCAGATGCCGCCTCCATGTTGGGACCTAAGAGAGCTTCATCAAGCGGTGACAACTCAAAGCTATGGCCATTCCGTGTCCTTCCTATCCGAAGACACATGATTTGAATCTTATCAAGAGGAAACAAGACAAACTCAAATTGAGAAACAATCTACAAAACAATTGGTCTGTGTTTTTCAAAGTATCAAGGCTGTGTACGAGTCACAGGACGATGATCCAGAAGAAAGACATGAGAGAGCAGACATTGATGGATCGTGTGGCTGAACTGGATTTCAACTGGCTGGAGTGTCCTGTTCAAAATGACGGAATGCAGGGCTAGCACACGCTACACGCTTGCTCGGCCACTGAGCTGCGGCTCTGGCCTTGAACTGTCTGCTTACAAAGTGGGTGTTATTGGGACAACTGGAAAAACTGCGTGGCATCTGAGGATTTGATGGTAGCAATACAAAAATGTTAATTTTCTGACTTCCTCTGATTTTGACAACTCTGTTGAGATATTAGTGTCTTTATTGGTGGAAACTACACACATGGTCAGGGGTTTAGCTCAGTGGTGCCTCACCTACCTGGCAAGTGCAAGGTCCTGAGTTCGATTCTTGGTGCCAAAAAAACCAAAACTCCACACAGCAGTGTCTCAGCATGTAAGTGCAGACTAGATATGTGCAAGGATTATTCTTTTCTAAACTGAGTTACTTTTATAATACATTATTTTACAGAAGAGATAACACTTGCATGAAATGGTTCTCCTTTGCACCATTAATCAAGCTGATATAAACTATGAGCCAAACCTGATTCATCACTAACCATTCTAACCTTCTAGCATCAGCTACCTTATCCTTTAAACTTTCTTGAAATCATTGCCAGCTATTAAGCTGTATTTATAAATAATAATACTCAGGAAAACCAGACTGCAGGGAAGCATTTATTTTTTAATTTTTTATTTTTTTGGTACCAGGGATTGAACTCAGGATGTTATGCTTGCGAGGCAGGCAGCAGCGGCACCACTGAGCTAAATTCCTAGCCCAAGTGATTTCTTTTTTTTTTTTTGGTACCGGGGATTGAACTTGAGACCTTGCACTTGTGAGGCAGGCCACTAAATTCCCAGCCCCTGGCAGGGAAGCATTTCTGTAGACCTGCCATTCCTGGGAGAGAACAGGGAGGCCACAGAAGCAGGTGGGATCAAAGGGAATGGAGGAAAGGTGGATAATCCTTCAGATCTCTCAGATCTAATGTTCCCCTTCTGTCTTACTTTTTCATTGCTGGGACCAAATACCCCACACCTACAATTTAAAGGAGGAGAGGTGCATTTTGGCTCCTAGTGTGTGGACGTTTCAGTCTATAGTGGACTCACTCCAAGGCAGGGAGGCCTGGCCAAGGGGAAACAGTCCATGGCAGGGTGGGCAGGAAGCAGCCACACACCACCGCAGCAAAAGACTGTCTGGTCTCACACACACACACACACACACACACCTGTCTACACGGTTCTTTCCCTCTTTATCCCATTCAGACCACAAGCCTATTGGTTAGTGCCATTCACACCCAGGGTGGGACTTCTGTCTTCATAAGTCCATTCAGAAGTATGCTAATGCAAACAGCAGGGTGATCCAGTCATCACACACTGCAATCCAAATTCACACACCCTGGGAGCAGCCGCCACCGAAAGGCCCTGCCTGTGAGCTCATGAGGCTCTGGGGACAGCCAGATGCAGCCACAACCCCTCCCTCCCTAGTGCTCTGTCCTCTGAAGCTAGGTGAGTTGACTGTGTCAGGCAGGGTGACAGCTTTGGTTGGGACTCCAGTCACAGGGAATGCTTTGGGCTTTTTAAGGAGCACTGTCTGGAGGGGAGGACAGCTGAGTTAGAAATTTAAATTTATTCTAATGGTTTCTACAAAATAAGTAACCTACAAAGTGCCATGGAAAGAGAAAATCACTGCCTCGCAGGAAAGGTGACCTGTGTGTGCGTGTGTGTGTGTGTGCGTGTGTGTGTGTGTGTATGTGTCGCTGGGATGGGACCCAGGGCCTCACATGTGCTAGGCAGGCGCTCCCCACTGAGCTTCACCCCAGCCCAAAGGTGATGCTTAAAGCCCCACGGTGGGTGCAGCTTGCCAGGACGGGGAGAGCAGAGCGAGTGACGGCTGAAGCTCTGACGGGCGCTTCTTCAGACCTGGCAGAGGTGAAGGATGAGGCAGGAGGCATGTGCATGTCTCAGCGTGGGAATGGGCTGAGGACAGCAAGCCCAGAGGGCCCAGCACACTCAGGTCACCGAGCAAAGGAAAGACAGGAAGCACTCGGCCACCCCACGTCCCTGCCAGCTGCACTGGGAGTCTGCCCCGGACTCGGGCTATGGCAGCAGGTGGGCAGCAGCCTAGTCCTGGAGCCGGGGTGCAGCAGCTCCCTCGCCTCTGTTCACGCACAGCTCTCCCTCCCCTCCCGCCTGCCCGCGTGAGGTACCCAGGCCCAGGGCTTTCTGCTTCTCTGCCTTATCTGCCCACCCCCCGCACGCGCGCCTCCCGCATGCGTCAGTCCCGTCTGTCTGTCACCTGTCCTCTGCACCCGCACGCGAGCTCTGACCCAGGGGTTTGCCTCCCTGCAGCCTCATGTGACACCTGGGGCACGGTCGATGCCCGTATGTCCTTGAAGAGGTGCAGAGTGAGGCAGACCTGCCACAAAGCCGGGGCCAAGAAACCTGATACAGAGTTTGGAACTGAAATGAGCTGCGTTGGGCTTGGTTCCCCGACACCAGCACTACCCACTACCCGGAGGAGCTGGGATCTCCCGGTGGGCCCAGCGGAGGAAGTCGGTCACGGGGGGCGCACTCTTGGGGGCTGCAGGCCCTGGGCCTTCCTCTTGCCCTTTCACATCCCACTAAGATGAGCAGCTTCCTCTGCCACACATTCCCTGTGAGGACAAGGGGCCTCATCCATCACTGGCCTGAACCAACAGGGTTAATCTGTTTCGGACAGGAATCTTTTTTTTTTTTGGTATGGGGAATTGAACTAGGGACCTTGCACTTGTGAGGCAGGCAGCAGAACCACTGAGCTAAATCCCCAGCCCCTTAGACAGGAATCTTTTAAACTGTGAGCCAAAATAAATAAGCTCATTACCTCAGGTACAGTGGCACTCGGTTTAGAAGCTTAATTCCTTCCACGATTCTGGTCACAAACCAAATTGGACGTGAACCGAATCAAATTTCCCCATAAGGTCAACATTGACCCTGACCATTGAATTTGATTCAGCTCTCATCCAATTCAGTTTGTGACCAGACTCATGGAAAGAACTAAGTTCGTGAACCGAGGTACCACTTATTTGTTACAGTAACAGAAAGCTAACACACTTGGGAACCCATAAAACTGAGATTCTACAAAGAAACTCTGCAGCCACCAAGGCAGTCTGGAAGCCCAGGTCGAGGGGTGGAGGGTGAGAAGCCTCAAGAGGCCCTTGAGCTTCCAAATGAGGCAGGCAACGTAGCAGCTTAACAAGACCCTGTCGCAAAATAAAAAATTAAAAAGGGGAAAAGTTTTTTAAAGTGTTGGAGAGTGTCTTAGTTACTTCCTGGTTGCTGAGACTCGATGCCGGATACCCACATCTCTAGGTACCCACAGCTCTCCGTCTGTTGAGGTTTCAGGCAATAGTGTGCTGCTCCAAGGCCAGGTGGCGTGGCACAGGGACATGCAGAGCAGAAGGACCGCAGGGCAGGGCAGCTTGAAGCAGGGCGATGGAGGGAGGAGGAGGGAGACAGACCCTGCCAGGCCACTCTCCTGCGAGCACCTCCTCAAGCCAGGCTCCACCTCCCAAGCACAGTGAGCCACACACCCTCGGTGGGTTAGTCCACCTCGAACCACACCCCATGACCCAGCCACCTCCCGAAGCATCACCTATGACTGCATGAGGCTTCGGGGGTCATCTAATCTAGATACAAACATAAAAGGGAAATAGCTCAGTGCAGAAGTCCTGGATTCACTTCCTAGTACCAGACAAAAAGAATCTGTGGGGACTCGGGCCAGGAGTGCACTCGGGGTACTTCCCTCGTGGTTCTCAGTGTTCCTTCCGCCTCCAGCCTGATGTCCAGTGGTGCAGTGTTCAGCAGCTGCTCAGGACACTGGCTGATGGGTCGGTCTCCCATTCTCCCACGCCACATGGGGAGAAATCACCAGAGAACAGACAAATCTTAACCATCCAGACACTGGGTGATCTTGTTTCTTGGCCTTTTCCTTTTTCGAATCAACTAAACTGTTCCTGCTTCAGGCAACTGAATCCTTCTGTCCTGGATCAGCAAGACAGATACAGTCGTGCCTTCCTTGCCTGGCACATGGGTGACTATGAGGACACCCACCAAAGAGACTCCGAACGGGTGGCTCTCCTTAGGCAGAGCAAATCATCACCGAGAAAGTCCCAGGCCCCAAGGCTGCCAACGTTGCCAACAAAGAAAGAGGTGAGAGCGGATGCCTTTCTGAAGTATCATAGATAGAAAGTCAGGGTAAGCAAGTCCATAAACATGAACTAGAGAGTGTTTAATGGTAATACAAATAATCAGTTTTACAGCTCTTAACCTATCAACCCCATCTGGAATCCATGTTAGATTTCTACGATGCCCATTCAGTAGGAAGGTGAGTATCATTCTCAGTTTATAACTGACGAAAGCACAAAGTTGTACAGTCCAGTCCTGAGATTTGGTGTTTAGTCATCACATGGTATAACCTGGAGAGAACAGCTATCCCATAATTTCTAAAAGCTGAGAAAGAGTCTGTAAAATGGAAGTAAGTCTGTAACTCCCCCTTAAAACTGATTAGCACTGTAAGAATATACCAGTTCAAATTCTAGTTTTTTCCCCCTTTACTATCTATGGCATAAATATTGGGCAAGTTGCATAATATCCTTTGTATGGTGTTTTTAATAAGATAAGGATATTGGTTACTGTCCTGAAAATTTTGCAGTCACCATTAGAACCAAAGAACTGTAAGTATTCAACATATTCAACAGTGATTTTTTGAGGTTTGTTCATACACCAGCCCCCTATGTTAGCTTTCTCATAACCCCATAGCACAGTGCACTTTGGAGCCCTCGAGTTTTTGCTACTGAGTTTGACAGCAAGGGCCCACAATAGAAAAGGAACCCGAAGACTCCTGGCCCACACTGGGAGCTGTCTCGTCCACTGAAGAATTGCTCCAACGCGCTGGAGCAACGCGCAGCCTCTGTGGCCGGGGCCCGCTCATCAGCAGGGAGTTGTGTCCCCTGGAAGCGTTCTGTGAGAAGGCCCGTGCGGCGCTCTGTGGCCGGTCCTGCGGCCGCCACACTGTGTTGAGAGAGGGAGCAGATCAGCCACCGTGGCTCCTGTGTGGTCTGCATGCTGGGAGGGTCCAGAGGAGAAGAAGGGGAGCATGGACTCCTTACTTTCTATCAGGGGGCTCGTTCTGAGCAGGACTCAAGCAACCACAGACCAAAGGATCTCAAATGCTTTTCCCTATCATTTACTAAGTCCAAAGGACATAGGTTATTTTTGCATTTAAAAATCTCTTTAAAAGATATATCTTGAAGTAATTTCAAATTCGGAGAGGAAATTGCAGGAACTCCTCGTATACTCTGCGTAGGCCTATCAGTTGATACTTTATATGCTTTGTATTCTCCCTCCATGGACACAGAAGACTTGAGCACAGATTCCATACACAATGCTGACTTATTGCTAAGTATTTTAGGGTCTGTGTCCTAAGTACTACTAGTGGTAGAACCCAGAGAGTACTGAGATACATCCCCAGTACCCCTCCCTTTTTCATTGTTAATTTTGCTAAGTCCCCAGGCTGGCTTCAAACTTACAACCCTCCTCCTTGACCCCTCCAGAGTCTTAGGATCACGGGTGTGTGCCACCAGACCTGGCTTACAGTACAATTTTAAGCTTCTGGAAATTTACCACTGATATATCATTGTCACCTAAAGTTCATGATTAAATTTTGTTAATTTTGCTAGTTTATTGTTTTCCCTGGCCCAGCATTCCTGCTGGGGTCACACAGTTTCTTGGTCTTGGTGTCCTATGACATCCACACTTTTGAAGACTACACACTGACTCTGAGTCCTCTCAGTGTGGGGCTGCTGATCCCGCAAGAGGGCTCAGGCTGTTTGTTCTGGGAAGGGATCCAGATGTGCCACGTGTGCCCCAGAAGTGGCTCCAGCTCACCACTGGTGAGCATGGCTAGTCACCTGGTCACACACCTTTGCTCCCAAGACATACATGACAAACTTGTTTTTCCACCTCCCTTTTCAGACCATCCCAAAGAGTTGTTGTAGATAGTCAATAGGTACTCACTCCTACTTTTTTATAGAAGTCTTGTTTAGGGAAGCAAGTGCTCTTATATAGTCAGAAGCAAATCGCTAACACCACCCATGAAAAGCCCTGCCATGGGAACTCAACACTTGGCCGCCCGAGTGTGGCTGCCACTTCTCCTTTCCCCAGAGAATGCCTGCACCTCTGCAAGTCAGAACTTTGCATGGAGACTCCGAGGAAGTAAATATTTGTCTTAGGGGGTTTGGGGGAGTGGCATGGTTTGTGTCTAGATGTCCCCCCAAAGCCTCATGCAGTCTTAGATGGGGCATTTTCAGAGGTGGCGGGATCTAGAGTGTGCGATGCTGGGATTAAAGGTGTCTGATTACTAAATCAGCCCACTGATTGGTTTGGCACCGCCCTAATCCCAGTGGCCTAGATAGAGCGTAAAAGGGGCAGAAAGAGGCTGCTTTTGCCATCATCTGCCTGCCTGCCACGGACTGTTTCGCCTCAGCAACACCCCGTCACACCACCCAGCCTTGGAGCCAGCTGATTATGGACTGAAACCTCCACACACTGTGAGATAAGTAAGCAATGGTTGGAAATGGGGCGGCTCTGTATTCATGCTCCCGAGTACGTATTCCTACCTAAAAGCCTGAGAGCTTGTACCTGTGTACGATGCATCTCGGTTCTTCTTTTTTCCCATTACCTGTGCGCCCTTCACCCCTCCACCCTTCCCTATTTACATAGATTTTGTTTCCATTTTTTTCCTTTTCTCATAATTTTTCCTTTCCCTTCTTTCTTTTCCCCTTCCCCTCCCATTTCCCCTACCCCTTTGGACCTTTTCTTCCTATTTCCAATTATCGAGTATTCATTTTAATCCTTATTTACACTTTCAGTTTCTCACACTACAGAAACTATTTAGTATTTACACATGTGTGTCCTATTTATTTCACTTAAGAGTATGGCCTCAATGTGGATCCACTTAGCTATACATGTCTCTAGTTTCTCATTTTTTATGGCTGAGTAGTACTCCATTTTTTTTTTTTTTTAAAAACCCACATCTTCTTTATCCAGTTTCCAGTTGACGGGCACTTGGGCTGTTTCCAACCTTTAGGTATTACAAACTGTGCTGCTACAAACATGGGTGCACGTATATCACTAGGGTATGTAATGTTTCTTAAAAGTACAATTGTCTGTGGCCGTACCACCCTGAACATGCGCATCTCACCTAAAAAGTACAATTTATGATATTTAATAGTATATACAATCTTGTACACATTTGCTTAAAATGCTGTTAAAATATTTCTAGAATTCAATCAAGAAAATCTCTGAACTATCCATCTTGACCAATTTCTCTCTTTAAAAATCACAAGATGTCTCAAGTTCTGTCTTCTACTCCATGTTATTTTCCTTTCTTGGTTTTTGTTAAGTTTTTCTCCACACAAGTGACAGCTCTGTAAATGTTGTGAAATTGATTGGCATTTCACCTTTGGCACCGTCCACTTCCATTCATTTCTTGGAGATGTGCTCACTGCTCAGTGTCCGCTTTCCTCCCCTTCCCACCCTCTCATTTTGACTTCAAGGAGGAGTGGTCTTCTCAACTCTTAATGCGCATGTGAACAAGGTGGGGGCGGAGTAAGATACAGACAGTGCTCAGCAGGCCTGGGGTGGGCCAGCGACTGTCTCCAGGCAGTGCAGCTCACTGCTGCAGGTCTGCAAACCTTGCAATCAGCAAGGTGACAATGAATTGAATTTTGAGCTAGGAACAGGAGGCAACTGATGGGGAAAAGGGACGAGGGAGAATGGGGAGAACAGATTCACAGGCCAAAGACCACGTTAACAGAACGTCCGGGGAAGGTACTTCACACAGGATGGCTGGTTAACGTGTGCAGAGGTGTCAGGTGTGGTGCTGAAGGCCTGTAGTCCCAGCTACCTGGGAGGCTGAAGCAGGCAGGAGGCTCGCTTCAGCCCAGGAGTGTGGAGTCAGCCTGGCCAACCTAAGAAGAAGATCTGGCTGGGGAACAGATAGCAGCTGGACATCTGTGTACACAACACAAAGGCATTTGGGTTTTGCTGGACTAGAACACGGGGGACAGGATGCAATTTTTATTTTAGAAAGATTTAGACATCAGCCGGAAGAGACCTGATTAGACAGTTTGCTCTGAAAGCAAGGTGAGTTCGGAGGACATTTCAGTAAGAAATAGGGAGGGGTTTCAACAGCGCACACGGGGAGCAGTGACTGGGGCAAAGCAGCAAAGGCCAAGTGGACTCCAGAAAGCGCTCAGCTGTCAAAGGAGGAGAAACAGGATGGTGAGACAGGACTGATAGGGGTGAACTGTTTCTAACACTTTGAGTAGAAAAACTCAATAGATGAAGACCTGAACATGAGAAAGAGGCACTACCTGATGGTCGGACAGGGAGATGCAGACCCTGAGACTAACCTGCAGCTGTGAGCGAGTCTTCACAGGAAGGGAACCTCCTTCGGCCCCTTTTAGCAGTTAGCGCCTCCCTTCTTACCTCAAGCGGTTGTTTCCAACTTCACTATTTCCCAGCTCTTCTTCGCAGCACATACTGGGAGACTGGCTGGTACGCAGGCCCCAGGGGACTCTGTGCTACTGACCGTGTGAAAGATCTTTGTTAGAGGGCACTGGGAGCGAACAGAAGTATCACCAGGTGGGCCTCTCCACACTCTATCAGTCGGGAGCACCAGAGAAGCAGAAGCGATGAACCAGCGTGCGTGCATCTGTGTGTGTGCATCAGAAGCAGGATTCCCTCTTCCCGGGGGAGTCTGTCCTTCTCCCCTAAGTCCTCCAACTGGCTGGTTAGGCCCACCCACATTGGGGAGGGTAATCTACTTTACCCAGGGCCTTCCGATTGAAATACTGATCTCATCCAACACGCCTTCGTAGCACACCCAGACTGGGTTCCACCAAGTGTCTGAGCCCTGTGGCCTCATCAATGAGAGACCTCAGCACCCAGTCCCTGTGTCACCTGGTGTGGGGATGAAAGGGGGTGACACACTCCAGGCAGCGCCTGTGTGTGTCTATGGCCTTCATGCAGGAGACAACACCTGACATCTCCCTACGAACACCTGACGTCTCCCTACGGTCTTTCAGGCAACGAAACAGCAGGCATCGCAACAGGACAAGGCATGCTTAACAGTACCACTTCCTCTGACCAAGTACAGTGCTGTAACTCACCTCTTTCCATAGCAAATATTTTATAGTGGCCCCTTTATGATAAAATTCATTAACAGTATGACTTGCATACACAGTCTATCACAAATCAATAGTTCCCAGTTGCACCATTTAAAATGCCATGTAGCAATGCATATTCCAGTGCCTACATTTTAGGGCGCCGGATCAGGAGGTGCCGGGAAGTGGGCCATGCTCAAGCCCAGGAGCAGAGGCTCCGCGCGCAGACGGGCAGTTCCACATCAGTTGCTGCTGGGAACGGAGTTTTCCAAACAGTACATCAGCTCTTGGTAAAGACCAAGTAACCAATTCCTGCTACAATCCTTACAAAGTCAATCTTCCCTCAGTGTGTAGAGTTAACGGGTGCATTCTGAAACATGCCTACACTAAAATCATGTAACATTGTCCTCTTACGTACAGAACTCAGTTCTCGGCTTAGATAATTAATCAGGTTTTCACCCACACGAATGTCCAGCGGCATTCCAAGGTCACACAGGCACTGGCCCTGATGTCCACTTGCTGCGGGACATCTCGCCTGTCAGCCCTGGTCCACACCACTGGCCTCAACTGCACAACCAACCAAGATGCCCGCACGTTTCCAAAGCCTGCCGAGAGCCACTACTATGTGTAATAACCTCGTTTCTCCATGAGTTATTGTTAAGGGAGACTCCGTACTCAATTAAAGGTAACAAACAGATCATATGCTGCACCAGAAAATGTTCAAGATAAATTCCAAAGGTTTATTGCACCAAATGCCACAGAAAATGGATCAAAAGAATACATGAACAAGTTTTAAGAAAAGTTTCCCATACACTGACATTGGTATCCATTCAGTTGATCAAAAAATAGAAAGTCTCTATCAATTTCTCTTAATGAAGCTTTAATAGTAACAAATCCCAGAATTTTGTCTTTAGCCACCACTGAAAATTAAGCATACTGTAATCTTACTTCCCAAAGAGATGGCTCACCAAAGTCTGACATTTAAAAATTAACATTTAGAGTGGGCTGTTTGATTTAGGCAAAAATTATATTAAAATATCCTGTCTCAAGTACAATAAAAAAAAACAAACGGTTCGCATTAACTAAGAGAAGCTCAAGATGTGTCCAATTTAATGGCTAAAGTATGCATGAACAAAATACTCTCCACGCTATGTCGCTAGTGGAAAACCCAGATATTTAAAAGATTTTGGGTGTCACTCTATTATTTATGTACAACCAACTTTAGTTAGTGAAGAACCTAGAAAGCTACAGACTACCCTTTTATAAAATCTGAGGACCTAATTATAAGAGCCCAAACGACAGTTTAGTATCATTTAGCAAGTGGGGAATTTCCTCCCTCCAAAAAAGTTAATTCGGAAAAATATGGTTAAGTTTAAAAAGTTGCAATGTGTAAACAGCAGTTCCATGGGATGTGAAAAGATTATAGTTACTTTCATTAAAAAACAGCACATTTCAGAAAAATGGATTGAAGCCTGTACAAAAAGCTATTTAACACTGATAAAAATAAAATACTTTGGAATTATGCACAAGTCTGGAAGCTACATTTTAAATTTTCATTGTCGTGTTTAAAATGCGCACAATTACCTTTACATTCATATCACTTATCAGTTTGTTAAAAATAAAACTGCAATATGCTAGGAGAGGCCCATCACAGTGACTGAAGTCCTTCTGCTCTGTTGTGCCTCGCTAGCTTGCTCAGAAAAGCAAGACGCTGCGAAAGTTCCACTCAACAGGTAAGACTCACAAGTTGAAAAAAACCCTAGAGGTCGAATCTGTCAACTGAGGTAGATTTCTTATTTTTTTGATTTTTATTTTATCGCACGGTGGGCACGGGGGAGAGCAAGTCCCTTTCTGGCCCAGCGGCCAAGGTGGATGGAACCCAGGTGTGTGGAGGAGCAGCAGGCGCATCTCGACACAAGTCCATGAGGATTCTCTCTCACTTTTGGGAAGAGGTTGAATTTAAACAAAGAAAATGTGAACGGCAGGGTTCAGAGGAGGGCTACAGGGGCAGCAGCATTCCCGGTCTGTTTCACAGGTAACAGACCTGAGGATCAGGCTCTGACTGGAATCCCACCACCGAGGCAAACCCCACTGTGACCGAGAGCAGCTCCTGCCAGCTTCTCCCCAGGGCAGTCCGGAACAACACTCTAGGGGCCAGTTTTCTCCGGTTGAAGGTCTGGGCTAAATATTTTGTACATGGAGTTGAGAATCAGCCGGTTAAAGTCAGTTTCCCCTGGATGGGGCTAATTTCACATGCTCCTGGGTACACACCTGAACAGAACAGAAGTGAGTCTGTATCCTGTCCTTTCCTCTGAACGAGGCAAAGTGCCCACAGGTGTAAACAAGGGAATGCGCTGGGCGGTGCAGACCGGACCAAGGGAAAGGCTGCCACCTGCTTATTCACACAGAAGGGAAAGCAGATGCCGGGGGCAGGACCCAGGGAGGGTGCGTTCTCTCCCTCAGGCACAACAGCAAAGATTCAAAAGAAAGGGAAACTTCGATTTTGTGAAAGACGTCAAAGAAAATTTAAAAATCTTACAGGCCTTGGGGCACCCACTGACCTCTTCTTAGCGGGCGGAGGGGGAACAGCTCTGCCTGGTCCTCAGCGCTGCCTGCCTCCCGGGCAGCTGGCCGACTCACGCATCAACAACGGACTTGTATTCGCGAAAGAACAGAGACAGACTTATGTCACTCATGGCTCCATCAGCCAGCCAGCTCCCCCCGAGAGCTCCCTCCTGTTCTCAAGGCCAGGGACACATGAAGTGCGGCAGCAGCTGGCTTTACCACTGCTCCTGCCTTTCCGCAGTCAGAGGTTAAAAGTCTTCCACTCTACTCTAGAGGTGAGCACACAGTCTGTTTCATGGTCAGCAAACCAAGTCTCTTTATGGTAACAGAAAATTAAGGTTTTTAGAAGTGAACTAGAACAATAATTCTTCACTTTGGTAAGCTTTATATGACGGTCAAGTGAAATTCTGTAAAGTCATTTTGAAAAGGACATAGGAATCAGAAGGTGCAGAGGTGATAATGTAAAAATCCAGATCAGATATGGATTGTCTGAAATATGCGAAGGAACTGCTGCAGACCTCGCTCCCACCCAGCCAGCCGTGCCTCAAACAGCCTGGTCCTCGGCAGCGCTCACAGGAAGGGGTGGCCGGCGGGAGCCCTCCCCTCCCTGCAGTCCTCTGCTGAGCGCCTCTCCCCAAGATACAGACCTCGCACCAGTGCTCCATCTCTGACTCCCTGTGGTTGCACCTGAGTCAAGTAAACTGAACAGAAAGGGGACAGCGCCCCAGCACCCTCTGTTCCCCACGGCAGCTGCTGCAGCCAGAGCTGGGGGCAGTGGCCAGTGGCATGGCTTTCCCGCCTGGCCTGAGGACCGCGGTCTCTAGAACAGCGCGCCCGCCCGGCTCGTGTGCAGCACCCGCCTGCTGGGCGCTGCTGCTAGAATGACACAGTGCCCCTCGCCCCTCGCCCCGCCTGGCAGCGCGGCAGCGAGCGCTCTGTAGTGCTGTGCCCCTCCGCCAGCAGGCTGGCTCTGCTGAGTCATGGGAACGAAAGGCAGAAAGGCCTCCTGAAGTCACAAATGCCACTGTGCCGTGCCAACATAAGTCTTCCAATAAGCATCCACCTGAAAGCAACAGTGCAAGACACACAGCGGAATGGTTTCTGCTTGCTCTTCTCACGCTGGACGTCCAGAGAGCTTATTCCTTTCTCTTGCAGCTGAGAATTTTTCTTCTTCCAAGGAAGAAGTGTCCTGAGCTTTAGCTTATAGTAGTATTTGAGCCACATGAGGAGAATGTGTGCTGGCGATAGCAGTCAACAGAGGCAGGTCATTAGATTCAATCCTGGACATCAGAAACAAAAGAACATGACTTTAAAATAGCATGATTTTATAGTCAAGTATTATTTCTAGGTAACAAGCTTGCTACATCATTATTTTAAACTCATGAAAAACTGGGAGACTGAGTCAGGAGGATCACAAGTTCAAGCCCAGCCCAGGGAACTTAGCAAATCTCTCAAAATACAAAGGAGCTTAGGATATGTAGTTCAGTGCAAAAGCCCTGGGTTCAATCCCAAGTACTGGGGCACCGGGGGGGGGGGGGCAATCAGAAGACAGTAAAATATCTTAGACACCACCCAAGGAGGCCGCTGGGAGCAGGCTGGAAGTGAGCTGCACTTGTGTGGACGGTGAGCTGCCCTGCCTGTAGCAGCTGGTCCATCTTACGTGTGGAACTCTGCCGGGCCCTCATGTGACTGCTTCCCCGTGGTCTCCTCACCCTCCCAGCCAACATTCCTGAAACCACGCTGGCTCTGCACTGTCAGGGAGTGCTGGTGCCCACCTCTCCCCAAGACCTTGAGGACTTGTCCCAGCAGCTTACAGGACTGAGAGCCCCGGGGAGAAGCCCGTATTCTCCCCGCTTTCTAAGAGCTTCAGATGGACACAGTCTCGGCAGCCTCTCTTAGAAGCAGAGGTAGAGCTGGGGATGTACCTCAGCAAGGCAGCGCCTGCCTGGCAAGCATGAGGTCCTGAGATCAATTCCCAGCACCCCCCTCCAAAAAAAGAAGAGAGTGGTGTGTTGTCTGGCCAGATGTTGGGGAGAAAAAACTTAAACCACACTGTTTCAGGGCAACATATCCTATTCTTTCATTTGAATCCCAAAAATTAAAATTTAAAATTAAATAAAATGGAAGCTGGGATTACTTGGTGAGTTTTCTACTCTTCTTCCAGTGATGCTACAGACAGGTCTACTTCACAGGACAAGGCATTATCTACTCCCTCTGTGCTGCTGGCCTGTGGAAGGAGGGAGAAGGACAGGGCTCCTCCACCAGTAACGGACCCAAGACCTGGAGACCAGGGCCAAGGGCAGGCAAGCCCTTACAACTGCGCTCAGACTCAGACTGGGGCTGACCGACACCTGCAAAGTTCCACAAGTGGAAAGACCACCATACCCAGCAGTGAGAAGACCAGGGAGGCAGGACGATGGGGCTGGAAACAAAGACAAAAACTAAGAGGGAAAGATAACAAAGACCTCACTGCAAGTTAACTGCAAAGCAAATGCCTCAAAAAGGGAAAATATTCTGTAAATGAAGTACATAAGAAAAAAATGTATGCTAGGAAATGCTAAGAGCCAAACAAAACAGTCAGTCACACGCTGGGTGTGAAAGGAGCCATGTGTGATGAGAAGGCAAAGGGCTGAATAAAATCATGTTCTGATTAGCAGGCTTGGTAGAGAACTGAAAGTTGACAATATAAACACAGCATTTCTTTTCCAAGTTAGGGAACCCTTATCCTGGGTGAAGAAAGTGACAGTTCCCCAAAGACACAGTGTCTTGTCTTTTTTTTTGCTTCTCTATTAATAAATGAAGCAGAATAAAACAATGCAGAACCCCACAGACTTATGGCTCCACCCTCTGGAAGACGGGTCATCTGGGAGCGCAGGGGGGCGGTGCAGTTGTCCCCACCCGCAGGCAGCTTCCGGGGACAGAAGAGCAGGGCCCACCTGCAGGCCTGGGCACGGGGAGGTGCTGTGACGCCTCCTCCAGGAAGCAAGAGGTAAACACAAGCTGCCCAGGCCCAGCTGACAGCTTGCAACTTTGGCATCGCTCTGAGTGACTAGAGATGGACAGACAGAGTGGGATTAAATGTTCCCTTCCGAGGGTGACGGAATCAGGGAGGAGACTGACAGGAGGTGGCCCAGCCCGCAGTTCCGCCCTGCTCCCAGGCGTGAGACCTGGCTTCCCACACAAGGCACGTGTTTCTCAGAGCCCCAGGGTTGCTCAGGCCTAATGGGGGTGGCCAGGGCCGAAGGTCGGGGTGCGAGGCCAGGGCTGGCCCAGCCGGCAGAGGCAGCGGCAGCAATCACAGAACTCACCCCAGCACGACACCCAGCTCCTTCACGTGGACGCGCGTGTGTCCCCGGAGATACTCGGACAGCATCTTACTTTTAAGGTACAGCTCCTGCAGTCTGTCTTCTAGATGCATGATGCACTGCGAAGCCAAGGACAGCCACCATGAGGCCAGCCGGGGCTCAGGAACAGGAGTTCTCTTCCTGCATCTTCCCCTGCACAGCTATAATCTCACCCCTCCCAAACACACTGAAAAACTACAGGCGTTTCCAACTCATCGCTAATAGCTACAATAGGGCTCTGTAAAACAACTATTAAGATTTTCATATACTATCATTCTATTGTTTACAAAAAAGCATTTCTATATACTTGAAATCATTCTACAAATACAAAACTTCCCTGCTTTTAAAAAACTTTCTAATGATATTTTCCCTGTCAACACTTCTTTACTGATGTAATTCTTCTGGCTAAATGAGTCTTGAGACTGTGACTCTACTATTATTTACAGCTATTGTACTTTGTTACAAGTAATTTTAGAAAAACATCTTTGTTATTGTTCTTGCTATACCTCAGACTATGCACAGTACATGCATCGAATTACTACAACAGGGTCATTCTGAACCTTCAGTCTTGCTTTTGAGAGTGTACTTTAACGAGATCTTTAATAACAGTACAGCACAAGCCTCCTTTTCGGGACATCTTTACCCTGGGAACCTTGTGCAGCACCAGCTCTTACAGAACAGCAGCTATCTGTGGCTTTTACCAGTGGCAAAGCTTCTGTACTTGGTAGGCAGTGCCACCCAGGTGTCTTCATGAGACACCTGAGAGCTTTGGCAAGGGTGATACCACATGCACGATTCTCTTCTAGACCACCAGCCTCGTGATTTGCAAGGTAAAGAGTAACAGATGCATTTGAAAATGCAGATCTTGACCATCTGGGCTGATCAGTGACACAGAAAAAGTATCTATTAGAGATGTGATCTTTTCAGTTTCTCACTGGCTCAAAATCTTACACGCACTGTGTCAGGTGGTTAAAACACAACTGCCTAGTAACTGGGTAATAAGGCCAGGGGGATTTCACCAATTCTCTTGGAAACATTCTCCCAAGTAAGCAGACCTGCTGTGGTAGATCGCCTGTTAAACTTCAGTTCCTTATGGAATGAAATGCAAAGTTTTTAATAAGAGTGTTATGAAATATTAAAAAGAATATTCATATTGTATTGGGTCTTTTATATCTTAAAACAATGTTTAGTGTTTGCACAAAATGGAAATAAAGAGAACCCCAGTCTAAGAATGTGTACCAAATGGGAAATCAAAGCATGTAGAAAAAAGTTTTTTAAAAGGCTCTTGATTATTAAGCAGAACTCTGTTGGGGTTTTTCCCAGTCTTCTTTCTGGGATTTTATTCCTGAGATGGATTTGTTCAATTTTAACTTCTGAAATCTTAACAGCTCTCTTCTCCGTCTGTACCCACTCTCCTACTCATGCACGTTTCATTCAAGTGATGTTTAAAGGGGTTTTCAACTGCAGGAGAATTTTGATTTTGGTTTTCTCATGTTAAATAAATCATTCATATGATTAAGTAGTTAAACATACTTCTATTCAAACAAAGCAAAAAGGAACAGCTCTAGTTGTTTATGTCTTTGATAACAAGAGGTAAGGTGTCGAATGCAAAAGAGCTATGTATTATAGACTGAAATATAAAAGTGTAGTAAACACTTCTAGCAATAAAAACTATGAAGCCTATCCACCTCTTTCTCTTGCAGAAAAGGAGATTCCAGCCGCTCAGTCAGCAAAACTCAGCCTTCTTCTAGCAGAGAATCTGCCAGCCAATGTCGGACAGAAAATGAGGTCGTGACGGTCCACAAATGTCCCTCACCCAGCCTGGAGCAGACTTCCTACAGGAGTAACTCAGTGTAATGCCCGAATAAAGACTTAAGTGAAAAAGGTTGTCGGTTTCTAAAACCAGCAATGCTGTTTGATGAAATTAATTGTTATTATGTGACACACCAAGAATAGCTGTTTACTGAGGGCTTACAATGTTGCCCACTCTGCCACCAAATGCTTCAGCGTGAATTACCTAATTTTCAAGGGCACGGCGGACAGATTCTGTTCTTTCTCCTTATCTGCACAGCTGAGAGGTCTGTAAGTGGTACTCCTTGGAATATGACTTGAAAGCATGCACAACACCCACCAATGCATGCATCCTGGCTGTTAAAGTATCCCATGTTGACAGGCGCTTTGGCTGTTTAAAATTACCCATAATTTTCAGGGAGTTCCCACAATACCCTTATATTATCTTCATTCTACAAACCAGAAGGCTGAGGCTCTGCTCCAGGTGCAGACACTCGGGATTACCCACCGTCACCCAAGTGGTTACTGCAAAGCAGCCTGAAGCCAGCCAGCTGCAGCGCCTTCCTGCCCTCCGCACTGCCACTGCCCCACGACAGGCACTGTCCAGAGTGCCTCCTTCAAGCCACGCCACTCCTCCCCACGTCCAAGGAGTGTGCATCCCTTAGACCTGGCTGTAAGAGCCAGGAAGCTAACTACTCGTTGCCGATGAATATATTTCATTAGTATTCACTTCCTGCTTTGCTGTTAAGCAGCCCGTGTCCCTCTCGAGAGCAACTGGCCAGAGGTTCCGGTGCGGGTGCGGAGCTCTGCTCAGCAAGGGGCCCCAAGCGTGGGGCGAGAACAGGTCGGCGCCCCACTCGCTCGGGAGACCCTGGCCCTGCGCCCCGCTCCCTCTGAAACCGCTCTCCCTTTCTTCCTGAACAGATCGCCTGTTCCAGTCTCTCCACCCGCGCACGCGTCAGCCCCTCCCACCCACACTCACGGAAAGGAATTTGTTGTACGTATCAGTGACAGTGACGGGGGAGAGCTGCTAATTTTCTGGGGCTTTCTAGGCTCTACTTGGTGGCTGCATTTAAAATAACGTTATGGAAGTGATCTTAAAAAGCCCATTTGAAAAGAACAACTGACAGCATCTCACAGGTGGAGAGCCCCTCGGAACCGGAAGTGTCCCCACAGCTGCTTCCGCCTCGACCCTGACACTGCAGGCAGGATGGCGCAGACCAGGGAACTCTGGAAACTGGCCAGCTTCCCACGCTCTGGTGGTCTCCACGGAGGACCTGAGGCCGCTACACGCCCCCCATGCTCGTTTACTTTATTGTGTGCTTGTGCAAAAGATCCCAGCGTGCCCTACACTACCTACTTCAAGGAAGGCCACTGTGACTGCAATCTGCCTGCTTGCTGCTCTTAGGTCACGTGCTCCATTTTTAGAGTGCTGACCTTCAGTCATATTAAACACAGTACATCTGGGGCTGGGATTGAGCTCAGTGGTGCCGCCGCCTGCCCCGCAACCGCAAGGTCCTGAGTTCGATCTCCGGTACCAAAAAGAACCATACATCTGAATTCATGATTTTTATCAGAACGTTGTTGAAAATATTTGCTGTTTCTTTTATCGTTTGGGAACAAATACTTACAAAATCAGCAGGGAGGTGAAGCTTGTGAAGCTGCAGAATGGACTGAAGTAAACTGCACACCTGACTGGAGACCAGGACGTCCTGGCCCAGCTTCATGCTGTCCGTCACTTTCCGCTGACTCGTGGCCACCTGGACACTCCACTTGTCCGTGTCCGCAATAATACAGACGGCCTCCGCTATGGGCTCGTCAAGCACTGGGTGCTGAAAGAACACAGGAGGTCAGCACCCCACCCGCCTCCAGGAGGCTCTCGACGTGTCCAGTGTGCTCTGCAGTAGAAATTGCAAAGCTCACGGTGGCAGCTACAGAAATCGAGGCTTCACGGGGACTCGGTAGGGGCGTCACCACACCCTCATCCAAATACAGGTGCATTTCAGGACGGTTTTCTTCTTATAACCAGGAGGTACACTGTAGGTGTTGTTAAGTGTTCACAGATAAGCAAAAAGATATATGCCCTCCCTCCCATACTGCAGGATATCAAAATTCACTTCTTTTAGGGCCGGAGATTTAGCTCAGTGGTTCTGCCGCCTGCCTCGCCCAGTGCAAGGTCCCGAGTTCTATCCCCAGTACCAAAAAAAAAAAAAACTTATAGCTTTAATCAGTAAGCAAAATTTATTGACTACATGTGCCACATACATCAAATATCCCTAACAACCAAATAAAATCAGACTGAGGGCCACTCATAAACTTATTAAAATATAAAACTCCCAATTGGGCCAGGGATTTAGCTCAGTGGTTTCGCCGCCTGCTGCGCAAGCGCAAGGACCCGAGTTTGATCCCTGGTACCAAAAAAAAAATAAACTCCCAATAGTAAACTGTGCCATCAGGCGAATGGAGTGAACATTAAGCATTCAAGTAAGAGGGCCTGCGAGACACCTCATATCCAGACAGAACTGCGTCCTCAGACCCTCTGGCCCACCCAGCCGTGCCCTAGGTGCATACAAGTCAGTGCTACACAGGGCAGCTCTTCTAGGCCCCAAACCACGAGAGAAAGGGGGTGGACACTACGGAGAGACAGCAGCAGACAGACCCACGGACAGGCCTCACGGTGCTGCATATTTGCTCGCTTTTCTAAGCCTCATTTCCCAAAGGAAACTAGTATTGGCCTCCTTCTGGATTCGGTCCCTCCCACACCCTGTGCTGCCCACGGCTTGCTTCTGGATGCTCAGCATCACTTCCTCTCGTCAGGTCATCCTGATTTCCTTCTGGACAATGTGCTTTCTAAAGGTCTGCAGGGCTGGTGAGCAGGGTCCCCCTTCACCCACAGAGGAGGGTCCCAGAGCCCAGCCCCACCTGTCAGTTGCTCCTGCCCAGGACTTCCTGGTAGCCAGAGGCTGTACAAACCCCACCAGGGTTGTCAAGGGGGAAACTCTCAGGGTTTAGTTTTTACCACTGAAGGAACAGCAATCAGGCAGTCTAATGGTTCAACATTGTTTAAGTGTATGTTCAAATACTCTTAAACATGAAAATGAAAGAATTTCAAAAAACCTATTTTTAATTAAATGAGGCTCTATTTCCCAAGATGGTTATCACTATGCAGATTTGTTAACACAATAGTACAAGGTTTTCTCACATATGTCCCACACGTGCACAGAACAGAGAGCTACACACACAGGTCCTGGGCTCAATCTCCAACATCACACACACACACACAAACACACACACACACACACAGCACAGGGCTTCAGTGACTTCCTTTTCCAAGTTTCCACAACTTTTAGCTTATCCGGGGTATCACAAATTCACAGCAAGATAACAATGACTATCAACTGCTACCACTGCTATCAACATGCGTGGCCCTTATGAACAAAGAAAATGGAAATCTAGAAATTTTGAAAAAGTGGACCCTGGAGTTACAACTGGAGTGACACATGAACTTCTTGGGTTATGATCAGGATTTTAGTTTTAACTTACGACCAAAGTCTTGAGTTACAACCCAAATGCCACCTGCTTGTGCTTCCAGATACAGATTTAACCCTTACAGAGCTCTGGAAGGATCATGAGAATAGCCTTTCCTGTGTGGGGTTCACTGAGAAATCCTGGGCCAGTGTCTGTCTAAGGACACTGAGCTCTGCCTGTGTACAGGAGAGAGACTGTGAAGGCTGTGTAGAGGAGCCTGAACCTTCAGTTGACCAACTTGAGTTACAACCAGCCCTCAGGAATGAACTGAGTTCATAAGTCAAGGGTCCACTGAATTTGTGTTTTGAACTCAAGTCCCTTGACTGCTTGGCATTTGGCTGGTGGTGCCACTGAATACATTAATATTATGGGCCTTCCCTTCATTACTGGCCATCCGCCAGCACACATATGGGAAGCGGAGTGGGCTAAGCATCACCACAGCGAAAGCCAGCCTGTCTGCTTTCCCCTCCTGCTCTTCTTCCTTTGCCTTCTCCTGCCCCTTCTCTTCTACTGACACTAGGTGGTCGGGCCCTGGGTTCCACCCGCATTCAGTCTCCATTCTAACGCTCTCTGCTGCAGTGGCAGGCAGAGTCCCAAGCCAGTGGGCTCCTGGTCTGCAGACCACATGATGTGGGGCCACCAGCAGCACAAAGGGCTTTGTGTTAAGCAATGAGCAGAAGGGAGATGGGCGATGGGCCGACTAGGAAGGTGATGGGCAGAAGGTTCTGCAAGCATGGGTGACATCTGAAAGCTGAAGCTCTGGATATGGTAACAAGAAGGGCAGAGGAGCCAGTCCAATTACTGAAAAAGTAACTAGGTAAGCAAATGTGAAGAAAAAACCCTAACTGGAAAGCAAGCACGCATCATCTGTGTGTCAGCGGGGCACAGAGCAGAGTCTGGGGCGGAGACGGAGGAGAGACCGAGGGCCGCGGGTCACAGCTGAGCACCGAGTCCCGAGAGCCCGGCCACTGAAATCCCCCGGGTCCTCAGCAGCAGCGGGAGCGGAACCTGCAAAGGCTCGCACTGAACGAGGGAAGTGAGCGACGGCGGATGCAGATCCGGGGCACCGTGTGGGCCTCCCTCCCCGGGATGCAGAGGAACCGGCACACATCCTGAGAGGGCCCTTTAAGAATACGCCAAGAGTCACACAGGCTCAGACAGTGAAATGCTAACAATGCTGATCCCCGAGCCTTTCCACAGAGGAGGCCAACAGCCGCCATGGGACGACGTCATTTAGTACCCACTCGGTCTCTGAAGAACCAACACCATTTAAAGAGAAAAGGCCGCTCAGATTGTCGAGAAAATGAAGCGACAGTTGAGGAGCAAGAAAGGGACCACGTCAGGGCCTGGCATGCTGCCCACTGCCACTGCTGCCCAGGCTCAGCTCAAAGGTCCGGGAAGTGGGGCTGAAGTTCCGGGGACCTCTGGGGTCTTCCCAAAGGAAGCTGCCCCACCAGAGGCCAGGCTAGCTAGATTACAACCTGCCATGTAGGTCTAGGCTCGGACGGTGCAGAGCTGAGACCCCGACCCACGTTTGACCTGTCAGAAACACCGCCCACACCCCACAGCGAATCCAAAATGTCTCTAAGGAAAAGCCCCACCTATGAGGCATGGGTAGAACCAAAATACACAATAGAAAATGAATCATATGTACCCTTCTTTTTAATACTTTTTATCAGACATACTGCAGTGGTAGAAGGTATTAAATAATGAGACCTGTCAAATTTTTTTTTTTGGATGCAGAGGCTTGAACCCAGGACCTCATGCATGCTAAGCAAGTGCTTCACTGCTGAGCTGCATTCTCAACCCTTTTATTTAGTTTTTTATTCTGAGACTGAGCAGTTAAATAATTGAGAGTAAAGAAAATACTGACTGCCCTATATATTTGGTTTTTCCTTGGAGTATTCTGGATTAAAAAGAAAAACACAAGATTCTTTGCTTTATCTGATGTGGATTTGTTAGTCATTCTTTCAACCCCGGTGTTTTATTAAACTGTACTTGAGGAAGAGGGCGCCGCCTGACAGCGCCTCTCCGCAGTGGCTCAGTCGGCCGCAGCACCGTGGCCTTCCACAGGCGGCGCTCGGGCTTCGGGAGAGGCCCTCAGCGGCAGCGAGAAGGTGGGCTCACGCAGGAGCCCCTCGCTCCCAGCACTGACAGGCGTGGCCTGAGGCCTGTCACCCCTCCACAGACACAACGCCCGGCACGCCCCGGAGGCACCTGGGGCCTGGGTGGCCGAGGGCCGCACGGAAGACCGCAAATGTGAGGCGTCGCTGCAGCCGCACACCCGGGGAGAATGCACTCCGGTGTCGGCTCTCTCGGCAGTGAGATGGGGCGCTGGCGACACCCGGGCCCTGCTGGCCTTCGCTTCTCAGAGTCCGCGGGCTGCTCTCGGTGGGGCGGCAGGAGCGCGGCCACAGCCCATCCGCCCAGACCCTTCCCAGCCCAGCAGCGTCCACGTCCTGAGTCCTCCATCTGCACGCAGCCAGGCTGGAGCCCCGCCTCCCTCGCCGGCCCCCGTGGCGGCGCCCGCCCTGCTCCCCAGGCTGCCCGCGTCTGACCCCCAGGCTGCCCGCATCTGCCAGGGTCCGGACTCCCGGAGCTGAAGACAGGTGCTGCGTCCGCGTCCGCTGGCTTTCCCGCACCTTTGACATCGACTTGCTAAGTACGGATTTATTTATATTTACCCATGTGGGAGCCAGTGTGCCTTTTCAATCTGAAAATTTTCTATCACTCTTTCCCCGTTCTCGCCTTCTGAATGTGCTACAAAATTTTCTCATTCCGACTTCCCCATTTCTCACTTGCTTTTCTGTATTTTTTATTCTTTTCTCAGAGATGCATTCAAAAAAGTGTTTTATATCTAACTTCCATCTCACAGATTCTGATTTTCTTTACTATTTAACCTGCTTGGTCCTTTAGTTTCTGACATTTTGATTTCAATGGCTATTTTTCAGTATCAGAAATTCTTTTTAGTCGTTTCTTACTACGGGGGATCCAACTCGGGATCTTGCGTTTGCGAGGCAGGTGGCGGAACCACTGAGCTACGTCCCCAGCTCCTTTCTCAGTTCTTATATAAACCTAAATCATCATTGGTTGCACTATCCTCCCATCTTTCCTTTTAATGTCCCAACCCCTGGGCTTGCAGGATGAACACTGTAACAACCATGCAGCAGCGACCGGCTGCTCCCGGCTTCCGAGCTCGCCCTTGTGGGTCCCTCACTCCCCATCTGTGGGCTAATCGCATCGGAGCTCTTTGGTCTTCCTTCCACACTATGCGTTTACGGCTGTCTACAGAAATGTGCTTCCTTCTGCCAGTCTTCCCTCAAGGTTTCTCTGCTCCTGGCTTTTATGTTTATTTCTCAGGCGCGGATTCTCAAGTCACTTGGGTAGAACAAATCTAGGCCTCAAACCTACAAACAGTTTTGGGATTTGATTTCTCCAGGGTGACTTTACTTTTCTCCACCCACATTTCCAACGATTTGATTTCTCCTGGGTGACTACTTTCCTCTACCCACGATTCCAACCTGTTTCTTTGCTGCTTCCCTGCTTCTATCTGGAGCTTCTTTTATTTTTTTAATTTCTTCGGTACCTTTTAGATACACATAATGATCATGTTCATCACCGGGAATTGGTCTCTGTACACAATATATTTTGATTCTTTTTTCCCATTCCCCTCCCCCTCCTTATTTACAAAAGCTTTGCTTCCATTTTCCCCTCCTGTTCTCTGGAGCCTTCTGTCCGTTTTCACAGAATCACTCTATGAAGCTCCAGGCTCGCCAAAGGGCTGCTTCCTAGTGCCCAGCCCTGGGTGCATGGGGATCACATCTGAGCTGGGGTGCGGCTCAGAAGCACAGCACCAATCCCTGAGGCCTGTGTCCAAATGAGGCTCCAGAGGGCTCGGGCCAGCCACACCAGGCCACCCCGCCAGGCACGTGAGGGTTCCCTGTGTTTTAGTGGGCAGCGCTGGAGGGGAGGCACGTCATCCACATCTCTCTAATACAGAGGGCCGCTGGCCGCCTTCACCTCAGACCTCAACTGTGTACACACAGAACCCAGCACACCAAAGGTACTAAGTGTTTCTCCATAAATAAATTTCCACGGATTCGCCTCCTTGACTCACTATGGGTAAAATGAGCCAGCCAGGCCACCTACAGTGCCCCCAGCAGGAGCTCTAGCGCATCAAACGGACCTGGAGCACGGGAAATTATAGGCTGTATCCCCTGTCTGTCAGCATTGGTTCTCCGAACTGTTCTCTTGCCCACAGGTTCAGTGTGAGTCACTACAGTCTAGAATGGTAAAGAGGAGAGGGAACTCACGGCCCGGACAGGAGACTGCCGGTCGGTGCAGGGCCCTGGGAAGCACAGGACACATGAGGCCAGGGGCTGGGGGAGGTAGGGCCTGGCGTCCTAGGCGCCTGTTGGGCTCCCTGGCCTGACCCCAAGTGCAGCCTGTGCACCTTGAAGGCCTGTGTGCTCGCTCTGCAGCGGCCGAAGTGCCGGGCCACGTTCAGGTCCAGCTTGGAGGTGCAGAAAGGTGCGCAGGGCAAAAGGGTCCTGAGAACAGTCACACGAGGACGTAGGTGACCTCAAAATGAAATGAGAGAGCAGGCAGCTTCTTATACAGAAGGGCACGGATGCCCATATATCTTGGAGGTAGTGAAAAAATCGGGGAAAACATTAACATTGGAAAAAGCATCAAAATTAGGCATGTGTCTAATTCTGACGCAATGCAAAAGACATAAAGTGTGAAAAGTCCTAAAATAAGCTTCTCTTCTCCTTTAGGTAAAGAAAATGAATTCAAAGAGCCACAAGCCTCATGTGTAAATGCATTACTCTCTCCTGTTTAAGAAAATGAAAAAAGAAAAAGAAAAAAGAGGAAGGCCATCTGCCACCTCTCTCCAGAAACAAGGGACACTGCCCATGCAGTCTCACATGCACCCTGATACCCACTACGGGGACAGCTGGCAACACTGTCAGCACTTTCCAGGGAGGTCCTGGGGAGTCTCCATGTCCTGCTTTGAAGTCCTCCAGCCCTGGTGGGAGGATGAGACCTCTGACTCGATGTGCAAGCGTGTCTAGGTGTAAACACACACAGACACGCACACGATCCCAGCCAGCCGTGATGATTTCGGCTCTATTCTGTATCACTGTTTAAAAAACTGGTCATCAAAGCCCAGCTACGGGCCAAGACACGTACTTTAAGAACCCTCCACAGGCAGCTCTGCACCCAAGACGGTGCTGCACCAAGGAGACGGAGTCGCGCATGTCCCTGCTGCACTGTCCCACAGCCACCTCTGCAGCCATTGGCTTCAAGGTCACTGCTCCTCAGAGACATCTGATGTTATCCATGTTTCTTAAGTAATGATTTGCTCTTTGATAGGACTTGCTGTTCTTTTGTAGTCTTACTGGTTGATTACCCTGAATGGATTACTTAGGCATTCAGGAGCATATATCACAGCCAGATTTTTAGCAAAGCTCCTCATCTTGCTACTGATTCCTGCATGATATTTCTGGAGTCAATCTGTTGTTACTCTTAAAATTAAATGGAAGAGGCTGCTATATCCAACTGTTACTTCATTTTATAGACTATTCTGTGAAATGCCTGAAGTCCTAGAACATAATTTTAAAAAAAGAAAACGTTAAATGTGGTGCTAACTTTGGTTCTGACAACGCTCCACAGCAGACTGAGCTGCCCGCTGCTCCCCCCAGCACCTCAGGCAGAGGCTGAGTGGCTGTTTCTGGCCTTGAGCATGCGTCACCACTCTTCCTGGGCCGGCCCACCAGGCACCATTTGTATTCAACTTTCTAACCTCTGACAGCAATCTCATTGTTACTAAAATAATGGTTGTCATTTTGCTCTCTGTGTTCAGTACACATTATATTGCTTCATCATGTACAAAGCACTTTCACAGATATTAACAGCTCACATTTGTTGGCCATTTAGTAATGGTTATCTCACAGAACCTTCAAACCTGTAACACCAGCACTGTTCATTTTACAGACTAGAAAACTAAAGAACCTGCCCCCGGGCCACAAGGCCACACGGGTGAACTACGTCAAATCTTCAGAAGTTAACTCCTAACCAGTGGATTCTATTTCACCCATCCCTCTACATGCGTTTGAGGGTTACAAAGGCCAGTCAACTTCTTCAGGGTTATCAGTGACTGAGTGGTGGTAACAGGACTCGAACCCAAACCCCAGGCCTGCCCAGTGCCCCCGGCTCTCTGGCCTACTCTGCCGCACAGGTCTGTATCCCCAACAGCACCCACCTGGTGCCTTCACACACAGAGAGAGGACTCAGACAAAGCCTCCAGGGGCCTCAGGCAGAGGCTACACAGCCCCTCCCTTGTCCGCTGCCCTCCTTCCCATATACAGTCAGGAGGAAAACGGAGTGAAGAATGTGCGTTTAGATATGGCAGGGAAATGTGAAACAATGTTACTTCGGACTAATTTAAGGCAGCTGTATAACCTACAGGTTAGGAATCAGGGAAAGAGGCCAAATAACAGAAAGGAGACAGTGTACGGACTAAACAAGAACACGTGTTCAAATATTGAAAGAATTGAATCTTTACATGTAAATAGTAGAAAATGAAAATAAATGATAGGAAGCTGATGCATCTCTTTCATAGGAGACTTGGAAAGAAAAGTACAAAGAGCAAGTCTCAGCACTAGGAGCCCTAGAAAGAATCCTCACCTCAGAGGAGAAACTGCAAACCAGTCCATGTGGCTATAAAGTGCACACATGTAAAACACAGTTTACAACCAAGGCAGCAGAGCGCTAAAAAACAGATCGATAGCCTAAATCAGTTGCTTTGAAACAGTCACTAAAAATCCTTCTCTAAAAAGAATTATGAGTACCAAAGCCTGATGAAGTCTGGCATGAACACTGAAAATTACTTATGTCCAAAAGATGGGTTTTGAAAGCATGGAACGATATAGCGATTTATTCCAATTCTCTCTCTCTCTGCAAGCTATTCTCAGCTCTAACTCTGGCCATGCGCTTATTCTTGGATCTCTGCTTCCTTCTCTGGCAACAGTCGCAAGAATTTAAATAATCACTATGCTTTACGGAGCAGTAAATTCAATACAATGTTTTTTAAAAACTAATTGATTCTTCAACAAATATTTGTAAACGAAGTTGAAAGTAAAGCTTTTTCTTAAAAAACTGCTATAGACCAGAGTGCCAGTCTGAGAGGCAGTCTACACGGAACACTACTTCAAAAGCAAAATTCATTATGATGATAATGAATGTGTCAAGTGCAATTAGAAATCCACTGATGCTAACTGGATATATTCTGAATATACTGAACTTCTGAAGATACTTTTATGAACCCTTCCCAATTTCCTATTAACATCCTGCACGGCTGCACTTTGGATGTAGCCACAATTTGACACAATATATCTTATCATGCTTAATAACTTTCAATTTCTCAGGCTGACTGCATAGCTTAAAGAAACAAGAACTATTACAGTGAGAAAACACTCCTTTAAAAAGGGGAAAATGAAATACAGAAACGCTTTAGGAGAAGGGATACCGTAAAGATGGTTTTGTTTTTTCAAATCTAAGAATTAAAGAGCCAGATGGTCACAATGAAAATCTAACATTTAGATACTGGAACTTGGCAGCCTACAGAAACTACGAAAGCGTTTCCCGAGTGGTTTCATGGGTAAGTTCAAGGTCGGCCATCAGTCATCAGCTCCCGGCTCCTTCTAGGTCAGGGGTGGAAGCAGGGCTCTGGGCAAACCCCCAGCCGAGAGGCTCACGGGCAGTCGGTGGCCCCATCGGGAGTGGGGAGCGGCCGGGAGGAGCAGAGGTCTGTGAGGAACTGGGAGACCCAGGGAGGGCAGGCGGAGGGAAATACTCCCACGGTGTGCACACCAGAACAGGGTGCGAGGCCCGGGAGGAAAGGCAGCAAGCCTTCTGATCCGCAGCCCGGCCTCCGTGACTCCGCAGAGCAGCGTGCACAGCCCAGGATGCTCGAGGGCCGCCCTCGCCCAGTGCCCCTGGACCACAGGAGCCAGTTCCGCCAGGAGCACCAGGAGGGGCCGCGTCTGGCCAGCAGCCGGCAGGGTCCCCAGCTGCCAGCCGCCCTCGCCCTCCAAGAGGAGGTCCGCTCCCACCTCACAGCCTGCATCTGATGTGTGCTTAGTCCTCACAGAGGACACGTTCAAGGCCAAAAAGCAGGCAATGCCTTCTGCTCCATCTTGGAAAAAACTGTCGGTTGAGGAGGTGGCCAAATTCCAATTTTCCTAACGCTGTGGGGACGCTCCCTGTTGCACAAGATACAATGTTGCTAATACAAAACATGTTTTTTTGCACATCTGCCCAACAGCAGCTCAATTACAAGCAGGCCCGTCACAGTGACAGGGCTTCCTTCACCGCCCAGTTCCTGTCATGTCACGGCGGCCGCAAGGCAATTTTCCAATGGGGCTTGTTAATCCTCACAGTCATCCTTGGGCAGCCATCAAATGTCAGATCGGTTAAAATAAATTTTCTAGGAACTTGTAAGGATCGAACAGAAAGCAAACCATATGCCAGGTCTCTTCAGCTCTGCCCATGAGGCCGTAACTGTCACTGCCTGTGCTGTTGTTTGCTCCCCCTCCGTGATCTGCTCCCCGCCCTCTCGTCCTGTTCGGGGGCCCCCTGCGCTGACCTCTCTGGACCCGGGCTGCGTCTGCAACAGCTGTGACCTTGCTCTCTGGCTTCCAGCCGGGCTCGGCCAACAGAGGCACCGGGAGAGAGCAGAGCACAGCGGAGAGGCAGGCAGCCCTGCCCCGTGCCACCCCTCCACGCCTACCGCTGTCGCCGGATCATGGCCCCACTGGTCCCAGGAGCCCTGCCCACACCCTAGGAACAATCCCTCCACCGGGTGCCTGCCACTTCGGCAGCCGGGTCTGAGCTGAGCTCACTTACATGCACTGTGTGGGCCAGATCAGCCGGCAGGCACTGCCTCAGCTTCTCGTCGGTGCTGGTCCCATGAAGCACCAGGTCGGGCGTGTAGGTGGGGCAGTAACCCGCCAAAAGAGAGCGGCCGAAGTTTCCTGCATTCGGGTTGCTGGCGCTCTGAGACCTAGAACAACGTCCGGCCCATTAGGGTGCGCGCTTAGAAGAAACCTTTCCAGTAGCGCTGCAGTTGGAGCGCAGACCTGAGTGACACAGGAGAGTACGACAGACTGAGGGGTCTGTGTCACTGGTCCTCCAGCAAGATCACAGGAGGGCAAAGGAGGAGGCCGGGAAAGAAAGGGAGATTCAAAAAACAGAAGCACCGGGAAAGACTCTCCATGGCCGGTTAGTTCGCTCCTGTACCTCGTACTGAACACTCAGCCGACTGTGAAGGGAGAGAGAAGACGCCTGGCTGCAGGGGGGACCTGTGTGCAAGGCGGCGCCCTCAGCAGTGGAACAGAAGCCGCCTCGCAGCACTGCGTCGGGCAGCACGGAGCTCGTGATCGGCTGTGGAGCGGTAGGACGAGGTCCCCCGGCGAGCGGGACCCGCCTCCCGGGGGCCAGGCTCTGCTGCCAGCACCAACAGCCGCAGGGGACAGCAACTCGTTCCCTGCCCCTGCCACCACCTCAGCTCCCCGCAGCGTCAGCAGGCAGACAACCCATGTCCCTCAGAGGGCGCGGCCACCTCAGCCAGCGAGCGTCCCTGGACAGAGGCGGGCTGGAGCCCATCTGTGCCAATCCGGGGACACTTCTGACGCTGAGAGAACACTAAGTGAAGCAGCCAACAGGCGCTCAGGTGCCCGCGGGGCCAGGCCAGCCGGCATTACCTTGGCAGAGGCAGCTCCACTTCTTCTCTCCACTTCTCCGCCTCAGTCCTGTGCCCGCGGCGTCCCGGACCCAGGGCGGCGGCCGTGCACGCTTCCTCTTCACTGTCTCCAAGGGCGCTGTCCGAGCTCTCGCTTCTGGGAAGGTCTCCTTCGGCCCTGCAGCCGGTTTTCCCGCGGGCATGCCCAGGGCGGGTGCCGGCAGCCACCAGGAGCCCACAGTCCTGCGGCACAGCCTTGTCCAGAGCAGGCACCCGCGGAGGTCCTTCCGCGTCTTTCAAGTGCAAACCCCTGGTTTTCTCTGGCGCTGTCCTCCCAGCTCCCGAGGCAGGGCTAAGAGAGTGGCGGAGCTGCCCGGCAGCACCTGTCGCTGCCGCGTCTGTCCCAACGCCTCCGTCCCCAGCCACGGCCCTGCCGGACTCACCCTCCCCTGGGCCAGGGGGCCGGGCCTCTGGACAGCCCACCCCCTTCTGGACGGCAGCTCTGCAGGAGCACCCGGAGGCCCGCCCATCCCAAGCCACGCTGACAGCTGCCCTGGCCTCCCTGGCCTCCGGGGTGCCGGCTGCCTCTGGATGCCGTCTGCAGCCCGTCAGCCTCTCGTCCATTCTTTTGGTGCGGCTTTCAAAGTCAGACTCTGGAGACACAGAGCTTCCGATCTGGAAAGTGACTCTTTCTGCCCGAGGCTCCTCCCGGGACCGCCGGTCGGGGCACGGCCAGGCTGAGGACTGCTCTGGCAGTTTCTTGGGCACCTCCTCGTTCGTCTCCTCCCAGGCAGTGTGGGGATCAATTTCCATCCGTGCCCCCGGCCCCTCACAGCAGGAAGGTTCGGAGGAGCCGGCTAGGGGTGCTGCTTTCTCACTGTCTCCATCCCCACAGAACACGCCCTGTGGGGTCCAAGTGCTGTCTAGCACTGGCCCCGGGAACACCCTGCTGCAAGCCTCAGAGCTCTGCGGTGGCCTCCGGCCTCCTTCTCGGTCGGGTCTGACAGCACCATCCGGGGCCCCAGCTAACCCTGTGGGACCAGGACCCCTTCTCTCTGTTGTCAGGGGTGGCAGGATGGGGGGCACAAGGGCAGGCTCGTTTCTCACTGTGACCACAACGTACTCGGACTCCTCCACCTCTCCCTTCTCCAAGGCTGTCACAATCTTGCTGCCGTTGATGACCTGGTCACCTTCACTGGGACTCCCGTTCCAGGTCAGCTGGTTGTCTTGCAGCTCAGAGCAGCGTAGAAAGTAGGTCAGGACATACAGAATGCGCTGGACCAAGTCCTTCTGCTTCCCCACCACCACGGTGCGCGTCAGTCTCACAGGGGAGCCTATAGCTCCATAGAGGTCACCTGGAGAGCAAAGCATACACAAGCCCACCCCCCTGGGTTAGTGCGCACAGGCACAGCAGCCCCTCCGAGAGCTAAGCCGGCGGCTTGGCTTCCTAACCGAGTCCCTCCCACAGACCCCAAAGTCCAGGAGCAGCCCCACTGTCGCTCCCATGTGCGGGGAGCCGTGGGAGGGCAGGGCCACCGGTACAGCCCGGAGTGGGGCTGCCGAGTGTGAGATCCCGGGACAGGCTGCCAGATCAATGAGACATTTTGGAGACCAGAAGAACCTGCTGGGAGAATCCCAGGATAACGGGCCTGTGGCAAAATCCAAATTCAAGGATTTCAAAATTGATGTGCAGTGAATCAGTTCAAAATACTTCGTAAGGTGGTCTGCTTCAAATTCTCTCAATAAACAGACACAACCTCAGCAGCAGCAGTTTACTAACAAGAACAGCAATCACTTAGTCATGAATAATGAATCTGAAAGCTTCTACTTCACATGAAAATTCTACAGGGGAAAAATGTCCTCTTAAGTTATGCCCTGACAGGTTGGTGGCAAATGGGCCTGGGGACCACAGGGCTCTACATTTCACATAAAGGCAGAAGACCAAGAGAAGCGTGCTCTGATCACCCAGCAAGCTCAGCTTCTTTACTGCTTGTCACAACTGCAGGAGCACTTTGAGTACCACATCACGCACTTGACACTTCGATGCTAATGCGGACAATTACGGCGGGCGAGGAGCCAGCCTTTCCTGCCGGGGAAGGCTCTGTGCAGAGTTAGGGTTTATCTCATATCTGCACAACCAAGCTGGAGTCAGAAACATCAGAAATAACCAGAATGCTGGGAGAAATAAAAATCTGACAAGGTCCCTACAAAGGAGAGGTGAGAACCTGGTAACTCTTAGCAAGGGTCTAGAGCAGGTCAGACTAATGTTAAAGAGATGAAGGCTGAGCCAAAGCTGTGGAAAAAGCACCAAGCAGTGCCAATACTGAGAGCCCTGAGGCAGCACACCCTGCTCTGGGACAGGACGGCCCTCCAAGGGCAGGGCGGGACTAACAGCATCCTCCTGGAAAAGGCCAGACCAGAGGCCACCAGGGCTGCAACCCTGAGCCACTGCAACTGACTGAGAAAGCATCCTGGAATTAAGGAGCAACTCAGAACAGCAGCCACGTACTACAAGTTTTTGCTTGAGAAAACTTTCCTGACCAAGAGTTTATTCTGTTCCTTTCCTTTTATATCTGCTCATTGCTGTAGGGTATTACAGTCGTTTCAGAAATGTATGGGACCTTTTTGTTAAATTCCCTCAATGTTAATAAAGAGGCAACTCTATACATCCAAAATCTGGTATAACAACCAACAAGGAAAAGGCCACTGAGCACGGCAACATTATTCTTTAACAATGTATATAACTTTCAGTATTATATATTTTAATAACTAAGGAATAATAAGAAGAAAGCAAAACAAGGTCATTAAAATTTATAATAAACTATAGAAAGCAATGAGAACAATGTGTGTGGAAAAATACTATCACTTCATAAATTCATAAAATAATACATCATTAAAATAACAGACCCATAACATTCTACTGGATTTACTGGATCCTGAACTCGAAGGCAATTTTTTTGAGTCCTGGGCCAATGAAACTACTAATCGTCAAGTAGGTGCCTTGTTTCCAGGAGTACAGAATGAAGAAGACGCTGCAGGACAAGGTGAACAAATGCCACACTACTGAACAGTACACTGGCAGAGGGTTAGGGCTTTACACCCTGCTCTTTCTGACCCACTTCATCTCTATGATCACTAGTTCAAAATGTTTTCTAATCTCTCTTGTGAAATGTGGCTTGTGAGTTACTGAAATGTAGTTATGGTGAGTTGGTTTCTTTTTTTAACTGAGTCTCGCTGCATCCTGAAAATAATGCAATTTAAACTTGGGGGAAAATGAAGACATTTCAGACTTATTTTTCCTCCTATTTATTTAGGTCAGTCGTTCCCAGGCCCTTTCAAAGAGAAAAGTGGCTTCTCCTCAGCTCTGCAGGGACCTCTGGGGCTCAGGCGAAGCACCTCGGTGCTGCGGCCCCGCCCATCTGCTCAGAGGCACCTGCAGGACGCAGCGCAGCGCCCGCGCCCACACCCACACCCACACCGCTGGCTCTCTGCACCTGTGCAGCTTCCGGCCCCTCAGCGGCAGTGCACAGAGCCCTGGGCTGCACCGAGGGAGCTGCTTCGGCTTCTGTCCCCCTGGGTATGGCACCTCCCAGGCGGGTCTTTGCACTAATCAAGATGGAAGTGCTCCATTACTTTGGAAACTGGACTACCATCACTCCATTGTCAGGGTGTACTCCCAGAAGCACACGACTTCCTGTTTCTGTGACTTGCCACGCTCAGTGAAAACAAAGGAAGCCAGCTACCCTGCCCAGACACTGCCCAGGTCGGCGCCAGCCTGCCCTGGAGGTCCTGTGCCTTGCCCCTTCTCCGGCGCTGCTCCACCCCACAGGGGTGCTGCTCCCCAGTAGGGAGGTGGCAGAGACCCTGAGCCACGGTGCTATGGGGAAAGGACCAATGGGAACCGCCAGAACCCTGAACGCTGAACACACAGGATCGATTTAGATGAGAAGCCTGCCGAATTCTAAGTGCACTGGTCTAATTAAATGCACTGCTTCACTAGCACTGTTTTCAAATCGATGACCCAGCAGCCTCAGACGCCGCTCTCTCAGTATGCAGCCCCTTCTCTCCATGACGTAATTCTGCACAGGTAGCAAGGCACGGTGGCACATGGCTGTGATCCCAGCAACTTGGAGGCTGAGGCACACGAGTCACAATTTTGAGGCCAGCCTAGGCAACTCAGCTAGACACAAAAAGGAAAACACCACCACATTTAAGAGGGATATTGTTCCACTCTCCTCCCTCCCAGGAAGTAAGCGGGGCATGTTTCTGGAGTTCTTCCTGCGCCTGGTGCTGACTATCTGCACCCTGCATTAAGGCGTAAAGAAGACCCTATTAAAATGGTCCTATCGGCTGGGGATGGCACTCGGTGGTTCAGTGTTTGTCCAGCAAGCCTGAGGCCCCAAGTTCAAACCCCAGTACTTCAAAAGAAATGGCTTCCACTACAATGGTCTTACCATCCAGAAACGTCTTAGTCAACTCACTTAAAACACATCTATCACCCCTCAAACTGGAGGCTGTTTTCTTTCTTACACCTCTCATGACAAAGGACAGAAGGACAGAAGCTGCCTTTACTGTTACAAAATAAGGACAGCGGTACCAGGGCAGGGTGAGAACCTCATTACTGTATTGTAGAGAGCACTTACCCTCGCTCAGCTCAAAGCATCAGGTTTTGTTATTGCTCTTAAAATATGCCGCCTGTGCTTTTGTGGAAAATGCCACCTCAGCATTCCCTCAAGTAAACCCTCCTTAGCAGGCGCCCTGCACCCCTCCTGCCATCTCTAGGAGCCCCTACAGCAGGACGTCTGTGACACAGCACTTCCCACAGCAGCTCCGCACTAAGTACAAATGTGGCGGGCACAGGAGGACAGTAGGGCCTGGTGCAGACCCCGAGGCCGGGGGTCACGGGAGGGCAGGGCAGGACAGGGCGGGAGATCGGAGGGAGGGCGATGCAGGGAGGCGGAGTGGCTGCTCCCTCCACACTAACCCTCTCTCCCCGGCACCCTTCGCACACCCCATCCAAGCTAGCCAGGCTGTTCTGCAGTCACGTGAATGCGGACCCACTGCGCCCGTGAACTGCTAGTCCCCAAGGCTGAGTGCCTGGTGCCACTCAACTCACCAATGGCACAGGCCTGGGACAAGCACACGAATGCACCTATCCTGTTCCTTGTGTGCGTGGTGAGTATGGGGCCCCAGCGCACACTGCTGGCCCATACAAACCCCGTGACCCAGCCGATTCACAAGCCACAGACTCTACAGCCAGCACCACACGGGAGCGCTGATCCCGACCCACGCCCAGGTACGGGGTGTGAGGAAATGCGAACTGAAAATGCAGAGAAGAGAAGGCTTCTGGCTGCTGCCTTACTTCCGCCACTCGAGCCCTTGTAGGGCAGGGTTCTCGACCGAGGTTTGCTGTGCTGCCCTCTCCCCTCCCCAGGAATACCTAACAGCGTCTGCAGACATTTCTGATTCTTCACACTTTGGGCAGAGGGGCTCTACTGGCCTCTGACAATCTTCAAATTACAGGGCTGGACAGCAGTATAGGGCACACATCCTGGCGTTTCCCACTTCACCCCTTACATTCTTCCCATCGACGGATAAGCTACTGACCCAGCTGTGCCCAGAGAGGGTTATAGGGATGCGTCTTGGCCAGAGAGTTCACTGACTGCGAGGTGCGCTTCCCGGAGAAGGCTCTGACGGGGGGGTGATCCACAGGCATGACAGTCGGCACCCAGGCCAGGTGGTAGGTCAGCACTGCAGTCAGTAAGGCAGCAAAGAACCTGGGAGAAACAGGAGAAAGCACAGGCACGTAAGTCACAGGACGGGGCACACACGGACCACGGAGCGAGTCTCTGGGAGTTGGGCTTACTGGTTTTTGTTGATGTGTTCTATCAGAAGTGTAAACTCCTTGAGAAAGCGCTGGCAGAGCTGGGATTTCTCCAAAGTGCTCGACATCATGGCAAGCCACACGGGTTCAGCTATCCTTGGAACAGAATATAAATTCCAGATAGTCCCCCTGTGAAAAGAGAGAGGACCCGCAACGCTGTCACAATGTAATTCTGGGTGAGTCTGGCACAGCAGGGTGCAGGAGCAGGCCATGCACACTACAGCATCCACAGACAGGCTGGTAAACTGTGGCGACAGGCCAAGTCCAACCGCCACCGGCATGGTGAACAATCTCTTCCTGGGACACAAACATGCTCACTCACACTGCCTGTGAATGCCGCTGCAGAACAATGTCAAAGGTGAGTAGTTTTGACAGATAACCTTACAGAAAAGGTGTGCCAACCCAGGTCCAAGACAGCAATGTAAAGAACAATGTATTTCCACAACGCCCTGCGTCAGAACCTACAACCATTTAAAAATCATTTAAAACCATTTAAATTTATTTTATCATTTTATTTTATTTTTATTTTTGCAGTACTGAGGATTGAACCCAGGGCCTTTATACTGGGCTGTACACTCAACCCTTTAATTTTTTTTTGGTACTGGGGATAGAACTTGGGTCCTTCCACTTGCGAGGCAGGCCGCGGAACCACTGAGCTAAATCCCCAGCCCATCAGCCTTTTAATTTTTGAGGTAGGGTCTTGCTAAGATGCTAAATTGCCCAGTCTGGGCTCAAACTTATGATCTTCCTGCTTCAGCCTCTCAGAGTGTCGAGATTATAGGTGTGTGCCAATATACCTGGCTTTAATTTACTTTTTTGACCTGCTCATAAAACATAAAAATTGTATGTATCTGCGTGGCATCACATACCATTTTTATAGTAAGGAAATGCAGAGAGAAAGAAAGTAGATGTTATATGGGAAACAGCCAAAGGCAACCCAACCCTCCCGATTTCTGGTTAATGCTTTGGTTCTGTACACCAACCACCCCATTCTTTTTAGAGGGAAGAACCTACACAAATGGCTCTCCCGTTATTACACTGCAGACCAATGATGGTGAGCCTCTTTGAGCTTTCAACGATACAGTCTGCTGAGCACCTGTGCCACAGGTTCGCCACCACTGCACCAGACTGTAAGCTCACTTCTCACAGGAAGCCCTAGAGACACTGGGCTACAGGCTGGAGACAACGGCAGGTCAGGGTGACAATTCGGGTCTCAATGCCGGGTGGGCACACGGGGATCTACTCTTAGTTACGGGACTTGAGCATCTCCCAAAGAGTACAGCGGTGTACTTAGGATTTCCACTGAATGAAAGTCATTATATCAGGCCAGGGATGTAGCTCACCGGCACAGTGCCTGCCTGACAAGTGCCAAGCCCTGAGTTCGATTCTCAGTGCCAAAAAAAAAAAGTTAAGGCCAACGCATCTCTTATAAATTCAGAGATATGCATTCGCTCTTCACAAATCAAGCTAAATGGGAATTTTCTAACTGTGAGCCAGAAAGGATTGGGATACAGCAGAATTCCACCTTGGCAAAAAAAGACACTATCTGTGGAGTTAGGGAGCAATGCCAAGCTACGGCTACATGGCACTGCGACCCACACTGCCTGGCACTGAGGTGTCTAAATACTGGCACCACGCTGTCTCCACTTCTGGAGGTGCTACTTGCCCTGTGCTGGTTCTGTACTTTCAGTGTCTTGACCTCTGAAACACTACCACTGTCATCAAACTGCTGCTGGGGCCACAGGCACGAGCCAGCTTTGAGTCCAACCGCAGCGCAGCCAGTGGCCAGCCCAGTGCTGCTCACACAAGCTGCTGCACGTTCCTCACGCATGTGGCTGAAGTCTCAATCATGCCTGACGCACTGCCTGAGTGCCCTACATATGACCGCACCCCAAGAGGGCAGTGGCCTCCTTCCCAGCTCAACAGCAGGTACCCTAGGCATCACACAGATGAGCTGAGGTTCTGTGCGTAAGTTCTGCTCGGCCCGCGCACCTGCTCTGGAGTGCATCCCACGCCACGCTCGGAGACGCTCTGGGAAGCGGTGCCACGGGGCCAGCTCACACGGTAGGCGGGATCCCACCCACAGCAGCGCGTGACTCTGGACACCACTGCCAATATGGCAATCGCCCGTTAGAGTGCAGGAACACCTGTGACTGCGACACGGGCTCCTCGTGGGCATTCGGAACAAGCGCCTCGGGTGTCCGCTTCTGTGCATGCAGGCAGTCGCGCTGACCCTTAGGGCTTTGCCAGGATGACGTGACTGAGACCGGAAGGACCTGCAAGTCACACCTGGTACGAGTTCTGTCCGTGGGCAGCAGCGAGGGCACTTCGTACTGGATGACTTAATTTTTCAGGGCATTCAGTGCAGACCTATCTGGAAGTGTGGACTGACCCTGTCAGCACCAAATCCTCCCATCACCCCTGTTGCTGCTCATCAAGGCCCGCTGGATCTGCCGAACTCTGAGCTTTACCTGAATTCTCCCAGTGCTTCCATCAGGCGGTTGACATAGACCTGGACGCGGAGACTGGACTCTGCTATCTTCCTACAGGAGACCATGGCCTGGGGGAAGGAGGTACAAGTCACGGTCTGAGCAGACGCCCCGCCTTCCCAACTTGCCTACAGGCCTTCTCCAACAGAACACCGCCCGACTGAGCAGTCCTCGGAAGGCAGCAGTCTCCCCTCCCAGAGCACAGTATCCCTAGGGGTCCATCACTGTCACTTCGAGGGATGACGGCCTTCTCAGGAAAGTGACTTGACACCTACACCAGGGTTCCACTGGCTTTAAAGGCCCCAGCCATGTCCCTGTGGACACTGGATGATAACCGTATTACCTTTTCAATTGCACTCTTCAACCTGTTCATGTGAGATTCAAACAGGGGAAAATGAGAAAAAAAGAAGTCCTGGAAATTCCGCTGGGCTTCTTCTCTCTCACAGAGGGAAAAGATGATGCTTATGGCAATTTTCTTCCTCCTAACTATGGCTGGATTAGAACTACAGGTTTCCTCAGCCAAGCTGAATGTCTCATCAGTTGACCTGGAGGAAAATAAGTTTGAGAAGTCGCTGTGAGTCGGCGAGTCACACTCAAGTCAACACTCACATGTATCTACCACTTACTCATTCTCTTCTGACTCCCTGTCGTGAAAATGACACATTACTATCTTAATATGAAAACAATCTCCAGTGAAAACCAAAGTTAGCTTACACATCCTCATGTTAGACCCTCACCTGTTTCTCCTGGATCATTTTATGTCAGACTGGTGGCATTTGGAAGGGGTGTGAAACACCTATTCACTCAGACACAGGCCTGTTGTTTTGGTTGACAGATACCAACGGATGAGAAAGAAAGCCACAAAAGCAAGGTTCCTACACAGTGTTCTGCTCAACACGGACACAGGTCGGAAGACGTTACCGGTAGACTAACTTTCCCAGGCTCTTCAAACCACCAGATGAAATTACTCCTCTAAATCCTCAGATTAAGCACTGTAACCAACTGAGCTCTCTAGAAAATCCCACAAGTAGAAAGCCTCACCTTTCTTTTGTTACAGTCAAATGCTCAAAAAATGCAAGATTCTTTGGAGAGACTCCGCTTCTATGACAAGACGCCCATGAAGCCAATAAACTGTGAGCATGCATCAATTTGTCTGAAGGGATAGGCCTCACGATTATGGCTTAACCTTGTCTCTTACTTTACCACAGTAAAAAGCCAGCATCGCTACCACATGGCTATTAACAGCAAGGGCGAAAACAAAAGAAATAACTTATTCTGTTCTACAAAAACAGCAAAGCAAAGAACATACCACACTGCAAAGGAAAGTGCCTAGCCTGGCACACAGGGGCAGGCAAGGCCTCTTCTCTTCCTCACGAGCCCTGCCAGGCAGCCTCGGGTCTCTACCAAACACAGGAAGGTGCTGCTTCCTCCAGGTGCTTTGCTTTGTTTTGTTTCTCCGGTACTGGGATTGAACCCAGGAAGTGCTGAGGTGTCCTCCCAGCCTTAGGATATTTTGGAGACAGAGTCTCACTAAGTTGCCCAGGCTGGACTTGAACTTGCAGTCTTCCTGCCTCAGCCTCCTGAGCTGTGGGGATTACAGGTGGGCACCACCACATCTGGCCTTGGTTTTCTCTTCTACAAATTACGATACAGCACTCACTTATGCTGGGTGGAACTGGAAACAGTTGCCTCCTACCCTTGGTCTTCCTATTTCTTACTCCACTCACAGACTACAATGTCCCTGTGATTTCAACTCTATCTTGATTTTATTGAACACACATACAGAAAACTTTTACATTTAAGAAAGCTTTTTTTTTTTTTTCAGTACGGGGAATCAAACTTAGGACCTTGTGCTTTCGAGGCAGGGGTGGCGCCACTGAGCTAAATCCCCAGCCCCAAGAAAGCTATTTTTAAAGGAAAGGAGACAGATGTCTTGTCCTAACCTCAGAGGTGTATGCTGCTTGATGTCACACGAGGCTCGGCCGTGGGGACCCAGGTGATGTGTCTGGGAGCCCTCACTGCACACACGACCCGCAGGTGCTCTTCTGAGTGCTGTGCCTCGCTCCTATCATCCACTGTTGTCTCTGAGAACCCCAGTGTAATCACCAGAAAACACTCACAAGAATCTCTGAGAATCCACATCAATTCATTCAATGCCTCACTCTCTTTTTCAGAGTATCTATATTAAGACTTCATTTTCTTGCATTACTTTATTTCTGTTCTTTTTTTTTGGTACCAGGGATCGAACTCGGGTCCTTGCACTTGCACAGCAGGTAGTAGAACCACTGAGCTAAATCCCCGGCCCTCTGTTCTGTTTTTTAAAAAAGAAAAATTTCTTCTGAGCTTCCATCAAAAGACTTGCTTGGGGCCAGGGATTTAACTCAGTGGTTCTACTACCTGCCTTGCAAGCACAAGGTCCGGAGTTCGATCCCTGGTACCAAAAAGAACAAAAAAAAGACTTGCTTGTAAATCTTTTCTTCTTTGATATCTCCTATTTCTCCTTTCCCAGAAGTAAAATGACCGTATCAGTCCACTATTTTAGGCCAACCTCTTTAATATCTAATTATGATAAACACTGAGCTCCTCACTTCTCTTAAATCCATTCCGCCGCGGGTCTTAACACAGCAGGCAGCGCCACCTGCTGGAATTCTGCTATACCTGCACAGCCGTGGGACACTCACTTTGACAACCCTCTTACTGGAGGCTGAAGGATAAATCAGGTCACACGGGATCTCTGAGTATCATTCCACAGTAAAGGTGTTTGAAATGCTTCAAAGATTTGAGGACACTCCCAAATACTGCACTGCCTCCTGGCCCCCAGTCCCCAGGGAAGCCGCTCGGCTGCTCTGCAGCTAACCCTGGAGGCTAGTGCCGCTCAGGACCACAGCTCATCGCTGGGGCGGAAGTGACCAGCCCACCCTGACCAAGAGAACAGGGCAGGACTGCAGTCAGCTCAGCGGCCAGGCTTCCAGGCAAGGAGAGACCACAGTACACACCCAATTTGTTTCTTATAAAGAAAGCAAACAGAATTCTGTAGACATGAATATGCATTTATGTACAGTATAAGTACCTAAATATCATCAATAATTAAAGCCAAAATTGATTTTTCATTACATTTCAACAGTGTGTAAGTGATAAGAAGACTAGTTAGCCCAAGTGTTCTGTCAGCTCTGAACTTACGCTGAACCTATCTGTGTATGACACGGGACCACATGAAATCGACAGGGCCGTCAAAGAACAAAGAACGTCGGAGAACATCTCATCAGCAACATTATACAGTTTGTTCAATTCCACAATGCAAGTCAGCCCTGGGTTCAATCCTCAGTACCACAAGAAAAAGACTAAAATGAAATCGGAAGGCTTCCTGGGATGCCATCCCTGCTCCTCCAGGGTTTCAACAGCCTCGCTAAGGGATGGCCTCGAGGCCCGCTCCCTACTGGCAGTGGGGCTGGTGCCGGTCCAGCCCACCCCTCCCACCCCTCCGGACACCAAAGCTCTGCGCCCTGTGCATGAGCTCAGGGTGGGGCCGGCTGGTAACCACTGACTGCCCTGCCTGACCCGAGTTTTCTCTCAAAGCCAGGATCACTATTTTTGATACCCACTCTTTTGTCTCAAGCATAAGAAACTAATTTTCTTACCCATGTACCCGTGACCACCGACACGGAGACACAGATCTTTCTGAGCACTGCATCAGCTCAGAACGCTGCACTCTGATCGCAGCACTGAACAGCTCTGGCAGGACATGGTTTTGCGCAGTGCTCTGCGGCTGGCACGCTGAACCCTAACGACTGCATCCTTGAGCTTGCGCGCTGAGTGCAGCCTGAAGCGTCATGAAACATGCACACGAGCACTGGAGATAGGAGGCAGCGGTTGGAACCCAGTGGGCTCAGGCCTGAGCCTGGCATCAGACACAGGCCTGCTATCAGGGAGGCCGGGCCACGGGCCCGAGCAAGCGAGGCTGACAGCAGCTGCAGAAAGGAAGCAGAGAGGAGCCGCAGGGAGGGCTCCGGCCGACTCGCCTCCCACTTGAGCCTCTCCGGTCAGTCTGCACACACTTCACCTCCCGACCCGCGGCCAGGAGCAGCCTCCAGAGGCGTGTCGGGAGCTACCAGACTTCTCAGTTCCGAAAACTGTCCCAACACTACAAAGCAAATACTTGCAAGTGCAGAAAGAGAGTTTGAATGTAATGACTATTGCTCTGGGCAGAAAACACGGCTCTCACGTTAAGATTCAGACAGGTGAATTGTTAATGAGGAAAACCATGTTTAAACGAATGTTTCCTCACATCTGAAGACGCAGTGACAGCAAAAACAGGCATTTTGAAATGTACAACTCATGAGGTCTCTTAGTTTCTTGTAAGATATCCACAATTACAGGAAATGTAATTCACATAAATTTATATCTACAATTAAATTCAGACTTATACAAAATGAATTTGTGAGGAATCAAATCTTTTTAGAAAAACTGTTCTAGGGCCTGGGATTTAGCTCAGTGGTTCCGCCACCTGCCTCGAAAGTGCAAGGTCTTGAGTTTGATCCCTGGTACCAAAAAAAAAAAAAAAAGAATCATTTGATCTAAAAGTACTAAAACTCGTATTCTGAAATTTATCAGACATTTATCACAGTGTTGTCACAGCCCACAAAGCTCCAGGGACACGGCCCCAGCTAGAAGACCCTTCTCTAAGAAAAGCATCCCAAAATTACTTATCAACTTGCATTTGCCAGGAGTACTAATGTCATTTTCAATACCGACAGAAAGCCAAGCTGCTAAAGTACACATTCTGATGACCTAACAAATGAATCTTCACGAAAGCCTAAAAATCTTACGATAAACAGATCTAGGTATTATCTATCACTCACTGTACTAAGTAACATTACGAGGCCAAAAATATTTTTTAATTTGTAAATTTATATTGTTATTAAACGTCATTATTGTCTCTGCTTTTCTAGTCTATTGTGATCTTTTTCGGTACCGGGGATGGAACTCTGGACCTCGTGCTTCCGAGGCAGGCGCAGTGCCGCTGAGCTACACCCCGGCCCCTTTTATTGTGATTTCTAAGACAAGACTTTTGATTTTACTCCTGCTCTCTGAACATCGCCCTCTGTGGCCCCCAGCCTGGCTGTACCCAGGCGCTCTGGACAAAGGACACCTCCGGCAGCCATCCAATAGGGGGCGCCATGGTTCCCAGCGCCAGGGCTCAAATCAGAGTTCGAAGTTTCAGAGGAGTGGGTTGGTAAAATAGTAGATTCAACCTGAGATGTAAATCTGGAGGGATGGAAGTGCATTTTCTGGGAAGAGCTGTCTAAAGGGAAGGTTTTTAGGCCGTCTTTTCCAGAAGCTGGCACATCACCGTGGGGATGGTGGCAGTGCCAACCGCTGAGCGCCGCACAATGACATCAGTGAGCGGTGACGACCAGGACTTACTCACTGAGTCCTGGGTCCCAGCTAACCACCTGGCTTTGTGTCTCACTGAATCCTCCCAACAACACTCAGGCTGACAGTAACACTGCCCTAATGCAGGCGAGGGAGCAAGGCCTGGAATCCAGGCTGCTTGTTCCAGCACACATCCAGGGCATGCAGACCCAGGCACCGGCCTCACACCCAGTCCTTATCGTTCCACGCAGTCTACCGACCAAAACAGCAGCCTCTCAGTGACGAGGCAGCCGTAACTTGCTCCCCCGACTGCAAGACACCAGCCTCTGGCCTCATCTGGTCCTTCCACTGCCATCTCTTCCACAAGGGCTCCGAGTGCCACCACGGTACCACGGTGCTTCCTCCCTCTTCTGCGGTCCACAGCGCCTGCCTCCCTGAAGCACTTACTGCGGAGCACCTTCTCACCCCTTTTCTGCACATGCTGTCCGCCCTACTGGCCCACAAACACTTGCACGCAGGCGTGTGGCAGAACCCACCTCACAAGTCCCTCACGTGCTGACTAAGAGTCAATGCACCCAATCAATTAGTTGACGTGTAAATTGGTATAGTTACACATGAAACTTCCTTTAAAATTTTTGGGTTATGAGAAGAGCTTGGAAGCTACTGGTATGACACAAATGTGCATTTTGGATAGAACTAAACTTTAGATTCAAAATCAACTGAAATGAAGGTAGAAATACTTGGTGCCACTGCTATTTAAATCATATTCACGTTGCTTTAAGAATTTAAGTTTTACAAGAGAATATGCCAAAATATGAATAGAGAGAACATGGCATATATTTTCAAATACCACATCAATATCAGATAGCCAAAGGAAAAAATTGACCTCATCCTTTTATTACTTACAAGAACTACACTTGGAAGGTATCCAATTTAAAGAGAGAACATCACTTGGTTAAATTGAACACCCAGATCCAGTTCAAACATGCCACAACTACCCAGTATTTCCCAGTGTCTTCTAAACCAGAATTTTTTTCTAAGCTTTAATTTGTTCTCTCCTTCAAACTTTCAACTTGTAAACTGAGGCTGAGCTGAAGCTACTGACAGCAGCCAGCCACAGCCTCCTGTGGTCCTGTTCGGCTACCCTCGAAGCGCCATGCTCAGCAAGAGGATGCTCACGACTCACCACCTTGGGATGATGCCATTTTCCAAACTCGTCGTCTGACTCCGCAGCCAGCGGCGCTGATAACTGCTGGAAGAGGATGCGGAGGAGCTCGGCGAGGGGAAGGGTGTGATCAAAAGGCTGCTCAGTGAAGCTGTGAAGAAGCAGATTTGAAACTTGAAGGAAATGAGCCCAATGCGCTTATGCATGCACTTAGACCATTAAATCGTAAATTAAAAATGGTAAGACAGTAAATGTCACGCTGTATTTTAACACAATGAAAAATGGAAACATATACGCAAATAACCTAAATTTTCAGGTTCTATCAGTCATATCCAGCAGGGGAGACTATATTTTGTCTTACAAAGATTTCTTTGTAAAGAAAACACCCTTTGGGCCGGGGATTTAGCTCAGTGGTTTCACCACCTGCTGTGCAAGCGCAAGGACCCAAGTTCGATCCCTGGTACAAAAAAGAAAACACCTTTATTATAAAGGAAAACATATTAAAGTAAATAAGGATCACAGCTATGGCAAGTGCAAAATCACCAGACCCCACATTACAAATACAGAATAAATTACTCCTCAGAGTACAGATTCTGATAACATGTTCCATATAACACACCTTCGTATTATTAACTTGGGAACTAATGCCATATTATAAAGCTTACGTTTATATTTCTGCCTCTTGACTACTTCTTCACTCTATATTTTGAGGCAAATTAGCTATTTCCTCCACACCACATCCTGTCTCCTGATCTCCATTTCCAAACACACAATATTCATCCTCCTGTCCAAAAGAATGACTTCTGGCTCTATGTGTACTTTCTGCTGTGAATACTTATTGTGCTTATATGATCTCATATTCATGGAATAAATGAGTGCAGACTGGAGCCCCTGCAAAAATAAAATTATTATGATTTTCTTTAAGTAACAGAGATGACAGAGGTAAACTCTGATCAGTGGTCAGAGAACAGAGCACCTCGACTGAGATTTCCATGCTCAAAGGGCGAGCACCTTGGAGGTCCACCCGGCACAGCGAGTCCCTGAATACTCCCCTTACACAGATGCTTGAATGGACACGTCTGCCCTCTACTTCAACCGTCCACTGAGCAGCTACTGTGCACCAGGCATTCTGTAAGGTGCTGGGGGCAGAACTGTCAAGCGGACTGAGTGAGTGGGCCTGGAGCTCGCATGCTGAGGGAAAGGAAGCAAACAAAAGCTCCAAGGAAAGAACAAGAGAACCACAGAATGTGGCCAGCCACAAGGATCATCCTTTCTGCTGGGAAGGGAAGTGCAAACGTCAGGAACTCAGAGTAGTTACAGCTCCTTCAGTGGAGAAAATTCTGAGGTCTGCTGGGAAATGTGGTCATAATAGCAGGCAAGTGCCACCCTTAGGACTCCGGAGAAATGCTCAGGGCTGGCTCTGGCCTGCCACGCACATCTTGGTCTGAGAGGGGACACCCAGGGAAGGATGGCACAGACAACCCTCTTCTATGTCTGCGGCACCATCAAAGGCGCGTGGTTGGAAACACTCCCATCCGACAGAAAACAAACTCGTGCTGTCAGCCTTCCACCTCCTCTCCGAGTTCATCCTGCATCAACCTCCCCTCGCTACATCCCACCTTCCTTCCAGCCTCCCTCACAAGAACCTTTCTATTCCTTCTACGGCCACCAGCAAAGCCTGCTGCCTCCCAGACCTGCACTGGCTACCCTCGTGCCTAGATGCTGTCTATGTACCTCTCCACTGATGCGTCCCGCCTGGCACTCATGCTCACCCCTCAGAGGGGCTTTCTTTCCACGAGCAGCCCATGTTTTACTTCCGTCAGTGAAAAGTGCATGCCTGCCTTTCACTGTCAGTTATGTCTCTCCTGTACTGACAGGAAACTCCACAAGACTAGACCACATTTGTCTGAGCACTGACCACTCCGAAATCCTAGAGAGCTGCCCGGTGAGGTGCTCAGGCAACGCTGCTGAAGGAGAAGGAGCCACTACCCCTGTGGCAGCCACGTCCAGCTCTGGCAGGGAGGACCACTTCCAGGCGGCATTCCAAGGTTGGGTTTGCACACCAAGTTCTCTGTGGTCAAAGCTGCATAGAGCGCATTCAGATTTTCCCTCCACCTTCATTTAAAGTTTGTTTTTGTTTTTTGATGGTGGCAGTGGTGCAGCTCTGAACCTGAGCACTCTGTTTGACAGAGTATTACATCCGAGCGAGATGCAATTGTGACATTTGTTTACTGAACAGTACTTTTTTGTTGTTAAACACTTGAAAAATATAAGGTTTCTTAAAGGTTAGTTCATAGTTGTATTTCTTTTTCTTTTTTCTTTTTTTTTGGTACCAGGGATCAAACTCGGGATCTTGCGCTTGCAAGGCAGGTGGCAGAACCACTGAGCTAAATCCTCGGCCCCATAGTTATATTTCTAAGCACAACAAAAAAGAAGCACTTAAAAGTTCAATGAGTAGATGTTATTATTAACAGGTGAATTTCATTATTAATAAACTAAGCATGCTAATCTAATAGACAAACTAAATTATAGATGATACATCTTACTGCAGTTCCCAAACAACAGAATGATTTTAAGACCTTAAGAAATCCTCAAAAGCAGCACTTTGTTTTCAAAAAATTCCCAAAAAACCCTTTGAATAAGAAGATATGTTCAGAAAACCCTAAGTTTTTAAAATAAATTCTATTTTATTTTATCCCTTCTTCCCCTCAAGCCCCCTCCCCTCCCTGTGTACGGAAGCTTTGTTTCCATTTTCCTTCTCCTTTCACTTTTTTTGTCCCTCCCTCCTCCCCTATTCCCCTTCCCATTTGAACACTTCCTATTTCCTAACATCCATTATACATTTCAGTCCTTATTTCCACTTCTGGTTTCTTACCCCAGAGAAACAATGCAGTATTTAAACACGTGTGTACGATTTATTTCACCTAATCTATTTTAACAAGTTTCCCTATCCCTTAGCTCTTCAGATCAAAGTTCAAAATTATCAGGCCAAGCAGGTGCAGTGGGGCACCCGTAACTCAGCACTCGGGAAGCTGGGGAAGGAGGGCCAGTCTGGGCTACACAGTGAGGCTGAGACCAGAATGAGCTACACAGTGAGACCCTGTCACAAAACAAAACCATAAATACAGTAAAATAACACCTTTAATTCCCTTACATCCAGTTCTACTGCTAACTAACTCTGCCACTCACAGCGCCGATTCTGTACAAATCCAGGCCCTTCATCCCAACACAATTTATAGTGCGTACTGAGGAGAAGAAATCTTAGAGCAGTAACTCCCGCGAGGACAGAGTTCCTAGGCCACCCTGCCAAGCTCCAAAGCCCGCTCTGGCCTTTACAGGGGCCTGGGGTGTCGGAGCCCCTGGGTGTGGGCAGACGGCACTGGGTCAGCACCTCTGCAGGACAGCCAGGGGCAAGATGCTGCTCAGCCCCCCTCCAGCACACTGCCCCTCATCCCAACACAGCACCAGAGGACTAGAAGCAGAGCCTGCCAAACTGCCGGAGAAAGCCAGCCTCTCTCTGCAGCACGCTGACCCCTATGCTGACCCCGATCCGGTCAGTCCTGAGGCCTCCTTACAGCCTTCGAGAGAACATTCGGATCCAGAAGCCAGACACTTCTCCGTTCACTGCGAGCTCGCCCTTCAGCTTTCCTGCTTCTTAAAGGGCAAGGGAAAGTAGCTTTAGGAGTTAGGGAGATCTTGACCTGTACAACAGGAACTGTTTATACCATTAAAGTTATGTAGAAAACTTCATACCCTGTCCTACAAACGCTTCTGTTGGTATTAGTTCCCTCAAAGTCTCTACATCTTTTCTTCAACAAAAAAGGGGGATAAACAAGTAAACAAAATAATGTTACACCAGGACAGAAACTGACATGAGTGTTGGGAACAGGCTCCAGGAGAGCATCACACCACGTCTCTCACAGAGAGGGGAAGAGCTCTCATCACACACAGCTGAACCCCGTCAGCCACCAGGCAGCAACTGTGACCAAGAGTCACCCTGGCCCCAGGATCATGCTTCCCCCTGGAATACCTGGGCCAGTCATGAGACCTGCAGCCTGCTCCAAAATCCAACCAAAATCACAAAGGCCCTACGAGGCCAGGGGGCTGAGTCTTAGGACACTACACGCTTCAGCACATGCCCACAGACTAAGTGACGGAACTCAGAGTTCAGCTGACAGTGACTCACAAGGAATGAGAAAAGTACCCCAAGCTTGGGATGTGAAGTGGGAACAAAGTAAAAATGGTTCATTTAGCACATTGCAACGCACTGCCTCTTACCTTTCTGTTTATACAAAGGAGCTAAAAGTGAAAATAATACATGTCTCATCAATGGGAGCTACATTTCTGACCAAGAATCTTGGCCAAAGTTCACAGAAAAGATTAGGAGAACACCAAAATGAACACCTTTTAACCATAAATAAAGTGCCATGTGCTTTTATAGCTCCCTCCATTGGTTAAACTGATAAAAGGAAATAAATACCTGATCGGGCAATGCCACTGTCTCTGTCTTCATTCTGTCCTCGGCTTGGCATGTCCACTGGGGTGCTGTGTGCTACAGGAAAGGCACAAGGACAGCATGCGATTAGACTCTCCAGAGATGGCAAAGTTTAAAAACAAATACAGTGGTGTTTACACTTCAAAGTAGGCTACTGCTAGTGATGATTGGCCTTCTTATAGTAGAGACTGACTAGAAAGCAAAATTAAATATGTAAAAGAGAGAAAAAAGAAAATAGAACCAAGTAACAATCTCCCTCTACCCTATTGGAGCATATAAACTTTTCAGCATGATGTTCATTTCCTAAGATAACCTATGCTATAAACCCGTGCATCAGTTAATACAAGAAATGAACATTCTCAGGTGGATATTTTTAGGCATTTTCCTCATTATTACAACTATCTGAATAGTACTGTATTTTTAAAATGCTTGAGTTTCAGAAGTCATGTGGGAAACAGGGAATAGAAATACTCGAAAACCATTTCATAAATTCAAAAAAGGTTTCTCTGTTTATAACCCACTCCCTTGGCAGACAGAAATACATGTTCATTTCCAAATATTTCTTCCCCCACTTTTCCATGTACACCCATCCCAGTATTACTGTAGAGTACTGAGGAAAACTCCTGAGCTGGCAGAACTCTGGAAAACACTCTTCAGTATCTCAGACTTCTGGGAAGGCTTCAGACTGCCGATCAGGAAAGTAGGGGACAAGTTGCCCTACGAGGTTTCACAATGTACAAGCAGCCCAGGGCTCTGCCCCTGATTATTACACTGCGGCTCTTTGCTAAAAAAAATGTTGATCTTCACAGTTTTAAAGAGAGTACACAAACATGCTATCCTCACTCTAAGCAGCTGGGAGGGTGTCAGTTCCATTAGGGAATCAGCTACAGTGCTTAGCATATTTCAGGCTACAAAGGAGAACAAAATAAGAAATACCAATTGCCATTTTCCCAATCTTAAATGTTAGTAATGAAGAGTCCCACACTTGTTAATCGTGCCAAGACCGTAGTAACATTGAACAGCCTTAGCTAGCAAGGCCAAGTACATCTCAATATAAACCCAGAATACCAAGGTGACCAACCTGCAAAGAACCCCAAAACTGCATTTAAACTGCTTAAATAAATGCATATATTGAGAGAGAGAGAGAGAGAGGGAGATCTTCCATGCTCTTATTAGAATGGCTTAAAATTCCATGCAGATAAGGATGCAAGTGAATAAATGGATAACAAACACCATGGCAAAGGGAAACAATTCTGAGCAGAAGAAGCCTGGAAAATCAGGAAAAATAATCCTCTTAGAAACACAAAGGGCTCATTTCAGATCAAATCAGCTTACTCTGAGGTATTAGCAGAGGCATTTACAGTAGAGGTGGATGGGTGAAATTTTCAAAACTCCATGAATTTGCCTGCATTTTGAAACTAATATCTCCTATCACAAGAGCCCCTTGGATCTCTAGAGAGGCACAAATAGGATTTTTTTCTGAGAACCTGCAGAGGATTTATTCATGTGTGTGGGTTACACTGCACTCAGCATTCCACACAAACCTGCAAAGAAAGAAGCACTACGGGTGAGCCGGAGAGGTCCTCCTTCAGCCACGCCCTGCAGCAGTTTGCTGCTACAGGCCTGCACCAGACCTAGAGGCAGACACAGGAGCAGACAAGTACACACACACAAAAATAAACAGATTAAAGGGAACGTCAAACTAAACCAAAACAACACCACACAACAGACTTTTTAAAAAGCACAAACTTGGGCTGGGGATTTAGCTCAGTGGTTCCGGCACCTGCCTTGCAAGCGCAAGGTCCCAAGTTCGATCCCCGGTACCAAAAAAAAAAAAAAAAGGCACAAACTTTTTAAAAAAAACACATCTACAATAGTAGTTTTTAGAGAGAAAATCTGTTTGTGTATCTGATTTTACCTAGGTTACTTCCAGTGCGACAAGCACCCAAACTATTCTGGTTTGTGTTCAGTTTTCCCGCATGAGCATCTTGGTTGATGTACTCAAAGCTGTCTTGCAAGCTAAATCCAGAGAGATGAGAGGAGGGAGAGAAAGGAGAAAAATATCAAGATGCCAATAACACTATGTTCTACTAGATGACCGAATACAGACAACTGAGTCACTCAATACCCTTTTTAAATAAATAAATAAAGTCGCATATCTACCAAAGGGAATTGAACCAGCAACTTCAGGGGAATTGACTGGGGGAAAATAAAAACTTTTTGGAACCAACCCAGTCCTTACAACTGAACAACCACATTCTTCATAATTCCATATTCTATAAGGAGACACCAAACTAAATTTTGCTTCAGCGACTGGCACCTAGAATACTGCTATTCATTTCTAAATTTTGCTTTAGCAACTGACACCCAAGATGTTGCTATTCATTTCAAAGATTTTACATAAACCCTCAAAAATTAATTTTAACTTTTAATTAACATCTATGAATAATTCAGCAACTTTTTTCCAGGGGAAAGATATATCAGAAATTATGATTCCCACATAAATTTGATTTCAAAACTTCTAAAGAGTTAGAATTAACTCATAAAACATGTGAGGGAGGCAGATTTTAACAATGTATTTTTTAACAAGATAATAAATACCAAGAGTTAGAGGGTAATATAGCATAAGGAAACAAAAATAATTTCTACTTAAATTTGAGCTGTTTTTTTGGCTGTTTTTTTTTTGGTACTGGGGATTGAACTCAGAACCTTGCACTTGTGAGCCAGGTGTGCTGCCACTGAGCTAAATCCCCAGCCCTGAGCTCAGTATTTTATTACAAGGGATCGGTGTAATAAACATTCAGTTAATCCTAAGGGTCTGAAAACAGAATCACATGAGAAATAAACATTCCTTCCCTGTTGGCTTATGTCACGACAGTCCAATGTTAAGTGCTCAAATTGTTTTGTACAAGGCTAAGTAAAGGTTTCCTCAGTGGGGCCCAAATACACAGAGAGAGATGATTTTAGTTTCCCGGGATTACAAAAAAAAAAAAGCCATCTGATCCCTATGAGTGCCCCTTAATATAGAGTAAGCCTTTCTTTGAAGTTTATCAAAGTTTAACAAATGCTTTGTTATTTGATTTTTTACAAGTATATGAAATATTTCTGCTTGAAAGTTCAAAATGTATAAAAATAAATGCGCCAAGGGCTGGGGATTTAGCTCAGTGGTTTCGCCACCTGCTGCACAAGCGCAAGGACCCGAATTCAATCCCCGGTACCCCCCAAAAAAAAGTGAAGGTGCCCAGGCCCCGTGACCATACCCGTCAATGATCCGGGGAAACCCAGCCGCGGCCCAAGCGCAACACGGCAGCCTTCCGCCCACACAGGTACAATCGGCCTGCAAGATCCCTACACACCTCCACCCTTCAGAAATAAATATGCAAGGTGCTATAAAGATAAAATATTAGGGAATCTCAAAAGGCCATTCAGGGAACCCCACCATTTTCCCTTTCACTTTGCAGAGAAGTAAAACTTGGTGACTGACAGCAGGACTATGGGGGGACTGACGGAGACTGGGAACGAAGTCAGCCATTTGTGTTCAAGACCCGCTCGATGCTCATCTCAAAATGCCTTACGACCCTGAGGAATCACTGCCCAGAAACACGAAGAAAAAGCCGGAAAACTCCCACACTTACTTATTTGTGCTCCCACAGAAGCTACCCATTCTAGCAGAGAAGACTTTACTAATCATCAGCTGTGGAGGAGAACTGGAAAACAAGGAAGGCAAACGTGATTTCACTACGGAGCCAGCGTTACCAGGGCTATTTCTCAAAACTAGGAGAGAAGACGCCACACTCACCGTATGTAGTGGATCTTCAGGGTGGAGCCTTTGTAGCTCATGGCAACCGAGCCAAACATCATTTCCCCAAGCATGTTGATGTCGGAAGCCGGTCTCGTGTACTACATGCAAGAAACCACGGCGAGAACGATGAAATAGAAAGCAATATTTATTCATCTCTGGGTTTTTTTAAATTTAGTAGGTAATAACAATTATTATTATTTTCTTCTTTGAGACAGAGTCTCCCTGTGTAGTTCAGGCTGCCCTTGAACTCACTTTGTAGCCATGGCTGGCTTCAAACTCATGGCAATCCTCCTGCCTCAGCCTCCCAAGTGCTGGGATTACAGGCATGTGCCATCACACCTGGCTACAATTACTTCTTTTTTTTGTACCAGGGCTCGAACTCGGGACCTTGCGCTTATGAGGCAGGCAGCTTATCAGAGTTCAATTTTAATACTACTATGAAAAACAAAGATTATTATCTCTATTTATAACCTTTAAAAGGATTAAATTCTGAAAAAAAGGGTAACTCTTCTTCGTACAAAGAATACAACCCGACAAGGAACATGGTGAAAGTGCCAGCCGATGCAGTCCGGGTTTTGCGTGGCTCCAAAAGACAGCGGAGGGTCCAATCACGCTGGAATTGGCAGCAATGTTTGGCTCTTCTCACTTCCGCCCAGTCTCTCATAACCTCGTCGTCCGTTCTGTCTTCTGTCTGCTGTGGGGCTGAGCACCAGCTGCACACACCCGTGTGAGTCCGGCCAGTGCAGGCCAACTTCGCCGACAACGAGCCACACACGACTTCCTGTGTTCCACTGACGACCTCCCCCTCCAGCGCGCCGCACGGAGCTTCCCTCACTGCATCTGGCTCTGCTGATGACTCTTCCGGGCCTCCTCTTACCCGATCGCCCCAAGACGAGTCCCCTGGAGGCACTGGCTATGATTCACAGAGGAGCACCCCACATCTCTGCCTCGGGGTGCAGACCTCCCTGGAGCGCTAAGCCCTACATCCCATGCACTGGGCTAAAGACCGGTGGGCCGTGGCGGGTCCTGGGGATGCGCTGAGGAGCAGGGCAGATGTAAGTGCTGATGAAACCAGCGTGCCACCCGCCTGCGGCCTGGTCGAAGGAAGCCAAACGCCGCCTCTCTGCATCCCACCCCCCACCCCAAGATGCTCTGCTGTGTGCTCTGCACCCCAGGAAAACCCTAGTGAGCCCTTCCTTTACACATAGCCATGCACGGATGCACGCACACACACACACCCCTACTTTTACGGGGTGCCAGGGGAGGAGGAGGAGGGTAACCCACCAGCCCTAGTGGCAGAGGTTAGGCTCCTCTCTGCTCACAGCTCACGTCAACTTATGCAGACAGAAACCAAATGGCTTTTCATACTTTTTCCTAATGTCTTCCACCCACTCCTCCATTTTATAATCTGCTTTTTCTGGAGGTACAAGGGCCATACACCAACTATGAATCTCAACTAGCTGAAAATTTCACTTTCTGCTTCTTTTTTTTGGTACTGAGGATCAAACTCGAGACCTTGCGCTTGCGAGGCAAACGGCAGAACCACTGAGTTAAATCCCTGGCCCCTCACTTTCTACTTCTTAAGCCGCAGGCTGCTTGGAGACCGGAAGCACCGTGCCACAATGGGAACCGCACTGGCCAATCCCACCGTGAAAGTGACTCGGTCTGGTGGACCCATGGCTGCTGGTGATGCCCCTGGTGATGCCCTTCCAGCAACACAGTGAAAGAGCCTGTACACGGGAAAAGAATTCTGATGTCACAGGTCCCATCAATCACTACCCTTTTGCTCTTCAGTATTTATAAATCGCTTCTTCCCAGCAGCTAGGCGGTCAATGTTTTTGAATAACCCTAGTCCCTGTCTTCCATGGCCACACACACACTCACACACACCCCAGGTATAAACATACCCCTTTCTTCTCATTTCTAACTTCTCAGGATGTCCATATGCATTTGCAGAACCTTTAGGAGCTCTTGTAATAAAACTGGAAAATACATGCTTACTCTTCTGGATCCGACAAAGGAGAAGAAACTCAAGATACTTCCCTTCACTCGGAATATTCCTTCCTCATCCAGGAGGGTGTTGTACCACCTCTGCCTGACTGCATTTTTCACGGAGACAAGAGCCAAGGTGCCAAGCAGCACTGGCCCGAAACACTCGGGACCGCTGTGCGGAGCGCTTGTCCTTGCCTTCCCGGGGTGCCCTGGGGTGGAATCCCAGCACCTCCCTCCAGCCCAGGGACCCCGAGCCAAGCCTGCCTCACCTGGTACCTTGGCAGCTGCTCCTTCACGTGGTGTGAAGGTCCCCCCGAAGAACTACAGGAGGAGATGCTGCTGTTTCCTTGCCAGCTCCTGGCCGACGTCCTGCCGGTGACATCCCCCGCTTTCTGGGTTGAGAGAGGAGCCAAGGAAAAGGGTTACGAAGTGTGCAGGCCACATCAGCACGCTCTACACCCAGGACCCCTTTGTCCAACCACTCTGGTATGTGCACTGTGTTAAAAATCGAAAGCTTTTACATTTTCCCCTTATAATGATGACTAAGATATAGTTCCTGAGTGTCTACAGTATTTGGAAAGGTGGAATGCTGCAGAAGGGTATTAGACAAAAAAAGGTGAGTTATATTTTAACACTTCATTCTCCTTGAATAATTTAACTTATTACTACTTATACTTACGCTCATGCTGTATACTCATCAATGAGAATTGATCTGTTTGGTTATTAGAAGGTTTTTCATACTACATACAGTCATAATCTACGAAACTGAGGAGGAGAAAGATGACATTCAAATTTAAATGTTTACCAAGCAAATGGAACTCAGGAAACAAAGCTGTTAATCTGCACAAACTGAGTTTGTGTTTTAACCATACGCCTCTTCTAGTACTCCTTGAACCGTAACGGGAGGGAAAATCACCAGGCTGAAATTGGGAAAGGTGAAGCCAAACCCGGAAACAGGAGCTACAGTGAATCACAAAGCATATGATGGAAATGCGGTCTGTATTAAAGGTTTGGGGTACTGGAAGGTCAGGCATCACGCAGTCTCGGAGGGAGTGCATGGCTAGTCTTTACCACCGTGCAGTGGAAGTATAAAGATATCACCCTGGGCAGTGGTTTTCACCGCAGCGTCCCCCACTAGTCTTCACTCCTGCAGCTGCTCCCTGCAGTTCCTGTGAGGCTACTGCCTATTCCGGCTCAGCCTTGCCTCCCTCCCCTCCTAGTTTTTCCTGGTGTGGCTTTTGCTTGGAAAACCACGAAGCAACTGCAGCTTAGCTAATCTCCCACGTGAGGGTCCCTCTGGTGGTCTAATGGGAAGGCCTGCAGTCAGGGGCTCGCCTGAGGGCTGAGAATGGGAAGACTGTCAGGGACACCAAGTGTGCTGGCCCATGGCAGCCACACTGGGCTGATCCTAAGCCACAGCAGTCCCTCAACACCCTCTCCACATCTAGCTGTCACTTAATTCCACTGGGGCAGAAGCCAGCCTCTCCGAGGGCCTCAGAGGACAGAAAGTCCCACCTGCTTCACAGCCCAGCCCTCTAACTGGAGACAGCAGACAAGCACTGCACAAGCGTTGCCGGGCTCCTCTGCAGGCCGGGACAGGCCCACGGACCCCCGACTCTGGCCTTTCTGATTAAAGGACTGCTTCTAAGATAGTTCATGTCCCAGTTTCCAGCATTATCACCGCTCTGGTATATTAACAACTCCAGTTCCTTTCAAAAACCCTGAAGGAGCCGGGTGTGGTGGCACACGCCTGTAATCCCAGCACTCGGGAGGCTGAGGCAGGAAGATCACTGTGAGTTCGAGGCCAGCCTGGGCTACATAGTGAGTTCAGGGCCAGCCTGAACTACAAAGGGAGACCCTGCCTCAAAAAACAAAACAAAACAAAAAAACCCTGAAGGAAGCCAGGGATTTAGCTCAGTGGTTCCACCACGTGCCCTGCAAGCACAAGGACCACAAGGACTGAGTTCAGTCCCTGGTACCAAACAAACAAACAAAACCCTGAAGGTGCCGGGTGTGCTGTGCTGGCTCGAGGCTGTGTTCCCAGTACTGGAAGCTGAGGCAGGAGGACTGCTGTAAATGAGAGGCCAGCCTGGGCCACACAGTGAGTTCAAGGCCAGCCTGACATACACAGTTTGAGGCCCTGTCTTCAAAAACCAAAACCAAAACAAAACAAAACAAAACAAAAACAAGCAAAAAAAAATAAACATAAACCACTGAGGAGGGCTGGGGATTTAGCTCAGTGGTTCCACACAGCCTGCTTCCCAAGCACAAGGACCCGAGTTCGATCCCTGGTACCAAAAAAAAAAAAGGGAAACTGCCTCCCATGGAGGGGACAATAATCAGCGGTGGACCAGACCGGACTGCCAATTCAGGCGGGGGAGACTTTGAGGAACCAGGAACAGCAGCAACTTAAGCACGGATCAAAGTAGGGAAGAATGTACAAAGAAGATTAGCAGGGTGAGTATTGACAAACTTATAAAGGGTTTTTCACAGATAGAAAAGAAAATGATAGAAACCAGTGGAAAGAATAACATACTGGAAATTCAGTTGGAAAAGAGTACCTGTTTATTAAAAATAATCCAAACAAAGGAAGCCTCAATTTAAAAAATGTGCTTCTCTTCATGATATGATAAAAGGGCTACAACAGACCACTGAATATCAACACAATTTGAGAGGTGAAAATGAGCTAAAAAGAAAAGCTGATATGACAAGGGAAATACTCAAATCTCACAAACAGGAATATAATAATAATATTGCCAACTTGTACATGAAATGAAAATCAAAGAGGAAGAACATAAGATAGAAATAAGCAAACTTTATCAAGATGTGCAGAAAAAAGTTGAATTAAATGAAGAAAAGCACAAGGATCTAATAAAGAAAAAGGACATGGAAATCTCAGAGTTAAATGCAAAGTTAATAGCTCAAGAAAAAGAAAAGCAAAATGAAATAATCAAACTACAGCTGGAGTTTGATGCCAAACTAGCAAGGGTTCAGACTAAATCAAAGCCATATCCAGATGGTACTATTTCCCCTCAGAGTATCTACAGAAGGAAGCTTCAGCATCTTCAAGAAGAAAAAAACAAAGAGATCGCAATTCTTCATAATACCATTCACAGTTTGGAGCAGGGCCCTTCTGTTGGCAAAGATTCTCACCTTAAACGTAGATGATTTTGAGTATAACAGTAAATTCATTAATTACTATTTACTTTTTTTTAAAGCAATTAAAAAATTCGCTTCCATTTTCAACATAAGTATACTGCCTAAATAGCCTAAATAATAAATGAGACAGCTTTAAACATTTTTATTATTGAGTTTAGACAGATCCATACCTTAGCCAATCATGTACTACATTCTGTGGATAATGGTATTATCCACAAAGGAGTTCAAGTGTATAGGGTTTAGTTTACCTATTAAACCATCACTGACTATGGGAAAAAACCCAAAACACTGAAGGTATTCTGCCCACCACCATTAGCAGCCCCAAGGGTAGAATGTGGGTGTTCAACTAAGCCACCTGTGTGAGGCACTCAGGGAAATTAAGAGGCAGCCATCTCCTAGCCACCAAATGAAGGCTAAGTGCTGGCTCGCCCAAACTTCTGATACCAGTCTCCCATTAAAGCCCACAGTGCAGGGCTGGGAGACTGCTCGGCCCGCTCCTCCACCTACCCAGCAAGCCCACACTACTGGAATGATTAGCTCCCTGGCAGAATGCCACCGTGCAGGACTGTGGAGTCTGCCCAGCTAATCTGCCTTCATCCACACCCTTTCTTCTTGCAGAAATGGTCTTGATCAAAAGGGGAGGACCCCTCTTGCCCCTGTGAGTAAAAGGTACTGAACAGGAATAGAGTGAGTACAAATGGGTATTCTTAATGTATAAGCATCTGAACAGACACTGAAAGAGCGAATGGTGTAACAGTGACAATTTAGGAGCAACTGGAGCGCTCTCCAGAAAGGCTCGTGGAGGACCAGACTCCTCTCATCTTGGACATGTCACTCTACCTTTCCTGTTCACTCTACACATTCCCAGGCCCTCTCTCCCTATCACCACCACCCCCCTCCACAAAGGGCCGAGAACAGAAGCTTCCTTGCTCAGTGCTGCAAAGGCACCCTTTGAGGATGACAGCTCTGTCAGCATAACAAGCTCTAGAGGGAGGAATGCTGATTTTCTTTAACATGATGTTACATAATGCCTTTTAATATGTATGAGGAACTCTGGATAGAATAATATATCCACTGCCCTTCAGGCAAACACTTCAGTTGCTCTATGAATTTTATTTTATTTTATTTTATTTTTTTGGTACTGGGGATTGAACTCAGGACCTTGAGTTTGCAAGGAAGGTGACGGAACCACTGAGCTAAATCCCCAGCCCTGCTCTATGAATTTTAGAACTGTTTTCTTACTACACTGGATGCACACATTTGGCATCAAAATCCTACTAGATCTCAACTTACCAGCACACTCCCCTGGAGCAATAGTCTCAGCCCACGGTCAGCTCCTGTCCGGTTACTCACCAACAGCTCCACCTGGTTATTAGTGGTCATCAGTGGGCACACTAATACGTGCCTATTGGGGTGAGGGGTGTGCTCACTTTGTTCTGAGCCTTGAGTGGCACTCTACTACAGCTTAAGGCAGAGACTGCAGATTAGTGACTATCCAAGGGGTGGTTAGGACAAATGAAAAAAGTGAAGGCAAACAGCACGTCATACCTGAGCTGCCACCTCTTCAATCTTCTGAACAGCTTTGGAATCAAACAAGACTTGTCTGCCCCTCCTCTCACAGTCCTGGTAAACTATCAGGCGGATCTCACTCAGGTCAAGCTCTGAACATGACCAGCTGCAGGTGGAAAGGGAGAGAGAAGCGAGGTTATCTGCAAGCTGTGCTGTGACAGTGGCACTAACTCTGGCCAACACGGCCGAAGGCGCCAGCGTGGAGACACTGAGCCCCTGGGACCCCAGGGCAGCCTGAGGCCTCACACCTGGGCCGCCAGCTCTTAGGGCCAAGGCGGGAGATGGCTTCCGATAACACATCACCAGAGGACAGCTTCTCCTTGCAAAGCCCTAAGGGCGTGCGGAGATGGCGGAATGTGGGTGCTTGGGTGGCACCTCAGAGTCAAAGGGGTGTTTGAGCTGTGTCGCTGAGCAGGGCATCTGGAACACTCGGCGGAGCCCACTACTCCCTCTCTCCGTCACCCACACTCAGGTCAAACGGAGAGGAGTGAAATACCCCGAATGTATTATTTCCTTCCATTATATCTAGCTCTGATACAGAAGGTTTGAAAACCAAGCGCATCACTGAACAGGATCCGAAATGCGGCTGACAATTACAGTTAGCACTAAAGGAAGCATAAAAGCTGGTGTGGTGGTGCACGCTGTAACCCCAGCACTAGGGAGGCTGAGGCAAGAGGATCATTCTGAGTTCAAGGCAAGCCTAGGCTACATAGTGAGTTCAAGGCCAGGCTGAACTGCACAGTGAGATCTTGTCTCAAAAAATTAAAAAAAATTTAAAATAAAAAAAGGAAGCATAACTTATTCTTTTTTTTTTGGTACCGGGGATCAAACTCGGGTCTTTGTGCTTGCAAGGCAGGCGGCAGAACCACTGAGCTAAATCCCCGGCCCATATAACTTATTCTTAAGCAAATCAGAAGCTACCTACAATACAAGTTTATTCTTGAGTAATAAATGAGATCAGAGTGAAAGAAGTACAGAAAAAGCAAGCATTAGAATGCACCACCTGGGCACATTTGGTCATTCACCAGGACAGCGTTCATCACACTCCAGCCCTGCGAGAGGCTCGGGACCCGGTGACGAGCCAAACACACGCGGCCACGGTGAGGAATCTGAGGCTGATAACCGCATGCGGGTGCACAGTGACAAACTGTTGAGAGGGGAAAGGGGAAAGGGAAGGCTATGGAAAATCTGATTTCCACATCTAAGAGGAGTGGGAGAGAGGCAGAAAGGCCCTGAGGACTTAAAGTGACATTGAGACACAGATCCAAGTAGCACAGGGATGTGGAGGGTGGAAGAGGGCAGCACCGGGGAAGGAAAACAACACAACACTAGCCCAGAAGAGTGCTGGGAGGGGAGCTGGCAGGAGCAGAGGCGGGGTCCTGCTCCAAGCCAAGGAAAACAGGTGGCTGATAAGACTGGCTCTGCACTGTTGGTGAGGACAATGGGGAGCAGGAAGGTGGAAGAGAATGGATACAGGGGTGGGGCCCTTGGTATGGAAGGCAGGACACACACACACACACACACACACACACACACACAGAGAGAGAGAGAGAGAGAGAGAGAGAGAGAGAGAGAGAGAGAGAGAGAGAGGACCCTCAGGAGGCAGAGCGGAGAAGACGAGGCCACCGCTCAGAGGATTCTGAAGGGATGGGTGACGGACACATAGGTGGACGGGCCAGACTAACGACGCGAACCCTAGGAGACTGTGTAAAGAAGTCGGACACATCTGGATCCATACACGCTCAGCCCTTGGATTTCCGCATCAGTACAATGAGTACTCGGATTAAGCAAAATACGTGACCGCTTAGTGCTCCGCAAGAGTAAGCCTCACCACAGAGGACTGTGAATGCCACAATTTTTACAGAAAATTGATACAGGACTGGGGATTTAGCTCAAGTGCAAGGACCTGAGTTCGATCCCCAGTACCAAAACAAAAAGAAAAAAGAAAAAAAGAAAATCGATACAGCATCTGGTACCCAATCATGACTTGTATATTTTTGGTCCTTTCCTTTTTCAGATAATAGTAGTTAATGGTGAACATGTTCTTTAGGGCAGCAGATTTGTTTTCTTAAATTCCAGTAGCAAAAAATATAAAGTTCTGGTTGTAGCTTCATTCAACCAACTGTGTTCCAAGTTACGCCCCGCAGCCTGTCCCCCTCGTTCTGACACTGGCAAAGCAAGCTCGATCTGGACACCAACTCCCCGACAGTCGGGCCAGACGTGGCCCACATTCTAGGAATGGCCGTGAGACACAGCCACGTGACCCAAGCTCAAGTGGCAACCTGGGGTGCTGCCGGTGTTATTTCTGCCACCGTGAGGTAAGTGCCTGCCTGAAATGAAGTCAGCGTGGGGAAACGCAGAGGTGAGCAATGGCATGAGAGCTGCCTGCTGGCACCTAAAACCAGCGCTCCTGAGTGAGCACTATTCCCGGAGCTAGTGTCCGTCCCAAGCAAAACCGTCTGATGACTGAGACCCACACACTACATGGAAAAGTTACAAGAGGTCATTGAAACACTCTCTGAAAATATGCATTACAACACAGTATGGACCAGGCGTGGTGGCACAGGCCTGTAATCCCAGCACTTTGGGGGCTGAGGCAGAGGATGACAAATTGGAGCTCAATCAACCCGGGCAACTTAGCAAAATCCTGTCTCAAAATAAAAACAATTTTAAAGGTTGGGAATACAGCTCTGTGGGAAGGTCCAGTCGCCCCGTACCACTCACTCCCTCAAAAGAGAAAAAAGAAAACATACATTAAAAGGGCTGGGATTGCAGCTCTGGTGAGAGCTTGTCTAGCAAGTTTGGGCCCTCAGTTCAATCCCCAGCATCAGAATGTCATGAAACGAAACAAAAAGGACGCAGGTGAGGTTATTACAAGTGAAGACAACTGACAAGCATTTAAACGAAATTGCTTTACATTTTCTTATTCAATCTATTTTGCCCAACAACTACATTTTGCCAAAATAGCATTATAATTTATAAAGCAAGATATTCAATCCTTATAGGAAACAGTACTGAGTCCAATATAAAACTGAAAACAGCCTGTATATGAGTTCAAATTTAATAATGATCATTACAGTTTATTAAATGTTCTATTTTTCCAAATAAAAGAAGATATAAATAAAAGATACAGAAAAGTATGTGGCAGATTATTCAGTTTTCTGACCAAAATGTCTAAAAAGTGTTTTATCCAACAGGAAGAAAGCTCTTTTCTCCTGTGTATTATCAGCATGTAACTTCTTTTTGGTACCAGGGATCGAACTCAGGTCCTTGTGCTTGCACAGCAGGCGGCAAAACCACTGAGCTAAATCCCCGGCCCCTTCATGTGAATATTATCTAGTTTGAACCTTGATGACAACTCCCACAGGCATCATCTCTGATGCTGGGAGAGGAAACTGCAGTCGCTGATGGGAAGGAAACAGGCAGGGCGAAGGCAACAAGATGACCACTTCAGAGAAACGGGCCTCAGACCACACCTCAGCTCCGCCTGGCCAGTTTAGTCTTAGGAAAGCCTGCCCAGCGCCTCTGTGAGGCCTGTTGTGAAGACTAAGGAAGATATCTAGAGAAATTCCCAGCACACTGCAAGTTCTTTCCATGCCATGCTTGCGACACTTGGCCTGGGCTGTCGACAGTCACACACAGTTTGTGGGGCCGGGGATTCAGCTCAGTGGTTCCACTGCCTGCCTTGCAAGCGCAAGGACCCAAGTTCCATCCCCGGTACAAAAAAAGAGCAAAAGCACAGACAGTTTGTGTCCTCACCTCATTCCCTCCCAGATCAGGTCAACATTCATTACGGCACCGCTGGGAGCACAGCAGAAGGCTCCTGGGCTTCAGCTGAGGACAACTCTCCCTACGACTGCATGCCTGTGCTGCATCTCTCTACAGCTCTGCGTGACTCAAAGGGTATGAAAAATAAGCCATGGCTTTGCCTTAAAGTAGCTCAGCATTTCAGACAAATGTATCCTACACAGAACTACCTCATTGCTCTGCTTCTGCTGAGAGCAAGAAGAGAATACCACACCTGGCATCAGGGGCTCAAAGTATTTTCTGTCTACAATATGACTTCAGACACAAGGAAACGGCATGGTCTGCCTTTTGTCCCTTTAAGATTTTAAACAAGTTACGTGAACCTTTCAGATGTTAAAATTCTCTGGTGCTAAAATAGGCCTGGTGAAAACTGAAACTAGGCCTTACTCCTGTAACTACCCATCAGGAGCAGAAAGCAAGTGACCACAGTCTGAATTACTCCCCTGAAAGGTGGTAAACAATAGCTCAAGTGATCTGAAGTACAGAAAACAGAATATTCTTTAAAATACCTATAACTATGTGTTATGGTTTGAATGGTACCAACCCAAAAGGTATGATCAAGTTTTAATTCTTTTTACTTTAGTCTCTTTATTAGTACATGTTTGCAGTACATACTAATTACACTCATCTTGGGGAACTGGTATGATCAAGTCTGGACTCCTACACCTATGAATCTGGCCCTGTGAAATACGATCTTTGCAGAGGTCACCACACTGAATAAGGCCAGGTGCCAATCTAATGACTGCTGTCCTCAGAAGAAGAAGAAATATTGAACAGGGAGTCACTGCAACACAAAAAGGCAGATGACACACTACCGAAGCAGCCTCGGGTGCGGCAGCTGCATCTGTGCAGAAGAATCACATGGCAAAGTGGAGGAGAGGCAGCCTAGGTCTGCTTCGGGGGACTTAAACGCTGCGCCAAGGGATGCACGCTCTGCTTCGTAAGCAGCAGTGTACCAATTCCAAGTTTCCAAGAACGGGAATGACATGATCTGACTCGGGTTGTAGGAAAAGATCCAATGAGATCTGAGAAGACCACTTTCAGGACAAATGCAGAGACGACGCTGTCTCGGATTTCCAAGGTTTCGAGGATTAATGGCTGGTGAGGAAGAGAGCAGTGGAATGATGTGTTGCGTGGTAATCCTCCAAGACTGGTTCTACTGTTTGATCCTTGTCAGAGTCTGAGGGAGGAACAAGCACAGACTACCAGTGGGTACGCGTGCACCTGCAGTGAAAACCTAACACGCTCCTCCGTCTTGCTCTCACAGAAGGAACCAACCCTACACGTTCAAAAACAAGT